TTGTCCCTAATTCCATTATAATCTATTTTAGACAAAAAGTGTTCAGATAAAAGTTGTAGATAATCACATTTCTAATGAGATTGTGTTCTTTGATCTTTTCTAAGGCCTGTCATTTTTTTTAAATGGAAACCATAGTTGGCCATGACTTCATAAAAAGCGCCATTTTTTAAGCTTTTCAGCGATATAAGCTGTAATATGTTTCTTTTACAAAATTACTGAGTTATAGCCAATTCTTATCTTTCTTGACTAATTTCACTTAGTTAGCCATGGAAACAAGTTCAATCGTCGTTGCTCTCAGAAATGTGAGATTGTCACATCCAATCTTTGTAAATTAAAATAAACAAAAATTGTAAATATATTTTTTTTAAATGAAGAAAAGCGTGTAGGATTATTGGTTCAACTTTTTTTGACCATACAAGATACATTGAATTTACATTACACAAACTAAAACTTAAAAAAATAATCAATACATACACTTTCATCAATACATACGTGTGTCATAATGAAAGTCATGTTGGAACCACTCTATTAATGCGTGAGTATCTAAATCTAAATTTGTTTATTTTAATTTACAAAGATTGGATGTGACAATTTCACATTTCTGAGAGCAACGACAATTGAACTTGTTTCCATGGCTAACTAAGTGAAATTAGTCAAGAAAGATAAGAATTGGCTATAACTCAGTAATTTTGTGAAAGAAACATATTATAGTTTATATCGCTGAAAAGCTTAAAAAATGGCGCTATTTATGAAGTCATGACCAACTATGGCCTCCATTTAAAAAAAAATATGTTTGTGTCATATATGTCAAAAATGACAGGCTTTAGAAAAAATCGGAGAGCAAAGTCTCATTAGGGATGTGATTATCTACAACTTTTATCTGAAAACTTTTTGTCTAAAGGGCTGATGAGTTACATGAGCTACATGATGAATTTGACAATTAATCAGGACTTCTCAGGAGATTGGATTTAGACCAGAAAGACATCCGATGTATCGAAAACCTATACTGGCACCAATCAGCACGGGTAAAATTAGCGAACGGCCTAACCAACCAAATTTGTATTCGCAGAGGAGTAAGGCAGGGGTGTATACTATCGCCGCTCTTGTTCAATGTATACTCAGAGGCCATCTTTCAGGAGTCGCTAGAGGACAGGGAGATTGGAATTAGAGTCAATAGAGTCTGGATAAATAACATACGATATGCCGATGACACGGTTCTGGTTGCGGACAACAGTTGGTTAGTCTGGTAGGAGACTGTAGTCAAAGAATGGGACTGGCCATTAACACAAAGAAAACCAAATTCATGGTTGTCACGAGAGAGGTGGATGAGTTTAGAGACGTCAGCTTAACATACGAAGGAAAATTCATAGAACGAGTCGAAAAATTCAAGTACCTGGGAGCTTGGCTTCACGAGGACTGGTCATCTGACAGGGACATTAAGTGCAGAATCGAGCAAGCCCGGGGCGCATTCTTGAAATTTAAGAAAGTCTTCACCTGTAGCGATTTCGACCTTGAGCTTCGGTTGAGATTTGTAGAATGCTACGTCTGATCGGTACTCTTCTACGGCGTAGAGAGTTGGACACTAAAAGCAAGTGCCATAAACATACAAGTGCCTTTAAAATACATGAAAGTTTTGTGCCCATTTTTCGCGCCAGTGCGCAGTGACTGTATTTCAAAAACTATTCATCTTAGTGATATACTTTTCTAATGAAACAAAGCTTTATTTTTTTACTAGAATCCAAAAATCAATTAATATATAGGGTGTTCCATTACAAAAAACATAACTTTGATGTGTATTTTTTAGGACACCCTGTAGAACTGTAGAATAATTTTAGAAAATGCTTTTTCAATTCTGTTAGCAAAAACCGTGTTGTATATGACGCGTCACTCTGTATAATTCGATTTCAATCAAAATTTCAATGGATAGAATAATATAAGTAGAATAGGTCCTAGCTTAACCATTAGATTTATTGATTTCAATAAATTTACTTAGAAAAAGAATTTAAAAAAATCAAAAAATGAAGAAGAAAATAATTAAGAATTTACTAAAATTGCTAAAATAAAAAATTAAAAGCAACAAAAAAAAATAGGTAAATTAGTATTTTATCTATAAAATTTTTAGTATTTTATCTATAAAACACATTACAGAAAGTTTCATATTAATACATTCTCAGTAATTGAATTTCGAGGTAAAAGTCTCTGGGCACTCCACTACTTAAGCCGTTGGAGAATTCCCATTCCAGGTTACGGGTGGAGTCTACCAGGTTCTTGAGACCCGCTTTAAGTTGGTTTCCACATGGGAAGCAGAACGGTTCTGGTCCAGTTAGTGGACTGTTCACTCCTTTTCTAGATCGTTTGTTTTTTCATTACTTTCTATCACTTGGTGAACTCCAGGCACACAAATTTATTCAGATTCTCTGGGCATACTTTTACCAACTTCAAATTGATGGTTATTGAGTTGATGGTTCTTAAGGCTGCTTGGCTATCGGATAAGATGATACATGGATGATGGTATTATACTCATTCTATCAATTAATAATTATAATTCAACCATCCTTATAACAAGGCTAGAGAAATACAACTATTTACAGTGACTAGTACTAGTTGTATAAGATTAATCTTCATTAAAATGATGAAATAACTCTATAAAGATTAAAAAAAAACAACAAACAGATTAGAAAAGAATGTAGGTTGCACTGCTATCCGGAGAAATCCCCAATTCCACTTTGTTTATTTCGTTAGTATAATAAAAAAATATAAATCACCCAAACCACGCAAATCGATACCAGGATTTAAATAGATTTTCGCTCTAATCTCCTACTGACAATGTGCGCGATCTATTTTTAACATCACGAAATATAAAACATCGTACGATTGCGAGTCACTGAATGCCTAGCGTTATAAACATTATTTCACGTGAAATATAATTCTTTATATTGGTTTTTATAAAAATAGTACTTAAATCATCAATCCCATTTGTTGTTTTTTTACCAGTAATATTATTATTATAAAATAAAAGAATACATCATTAATACTGGAAACCACAGTGATACGAAACATGTCAGATTATTGCAAAGTTGCGCAGTTTTTCATCAGGTTATTCAATCATTTCCAGTTACGATGTAGCCTCCCTCACATATTTAGATACTCTCTTTGTAGTTGAGCCCATTTTTGTCTATTGTTGGCTATGCGGGCCCAAGTTATCACTGCTAATTTCCTAATATCACGGTCCCATCTCAGGTTTGGTCTTCTTCTAGGTCTCTTAATTCTTCGTGGGTACCATGCTGAAATTTTTGTGGCTCATATGTTGTCCATCTTTCTTGCCAGGTGTCCTGCCCATTGCCACTTGAGGGATTTGATTCTGTGGATGACATCTATTACCTGGGTCTTTTGTTTTATCCACTCTATACTTTTACGATCTTTCTTGGATATTCCCAGCATATTTTGTTACATTGAGCATTGTGCGACCTGCAGTTTCCTTATAATATTCGTTTTAAGTGTCCAGGTTTCGCATGCATAGCTCAAACCAACCCTAATATGAAATCTTTGAATAGATCATGACTTGTAGCATACATTAGTCGACTGTTTTCTTCTTCAGATAAAGTGGCATTCTAGATTTGAATATGATTGAGTGTCTTCTATAGGACTTATTAGGACTTATTATTTATTATTATTATCTTATTAGGTGTCATGCATCATTGACACTTTTTTTCTTTATAAAGCTTCGCCCACACATAAGATTTTACTTGTGAGGTAAATCAGATTAAAACCTAGCGTGTACACTCCTTTGCCTGCGGTTTTAGAACAGCTTTTGATAAATACCATGGTAGAGGCATTGCTTTTATCAATTACCTACAGCACATTATATAGAGAAATTGAAAAGAAAAAAACAGGAAATTTTACTACAAAATTTTATGTTCTGTTAATTATTGTTGTCCAAAATTGTATGTTGCCGTCAAAATTACATTGCGACGTTCTTCATGATACCGATTTTATTGAAACTGCTGTTATTTACTAATTAGAAGACGTATACTAAGAAAATATAGGCCACTGTATTTTGCGAAAACAGCACGTTTTAACCATCATCAAAAATAGCTCAAAATAAGAGTTTATAAAATTAATTTTCGCACAAAACCAAGGCATTTAAGCCTTTAAAAGTGTATATATTCTGAATCTACATAAAATTTCCTACAAATATTAAAATTTTCATCAATTTTCAACGTCTTTGAAAATGTAAAAAAAGCCAAAAAAATGACAATTAATTTTTGGTCTATAGTCGTGAAAATTGGAAAATAAAGAAATGTCACCGATTTTGTTAAAACTGCTGTTATTTACTAGTTAAAAGGCATAGAATAAGAAAATATAGGCAATTGTAGACTTGTGAGAAAAGAATTTGGAAATTGAAAAGAACAAAATTGAAAAAATTGCAACTTGTTGGTGGCAGGTTCATTTCGCTCTTAAAATTTAACCAAGGCATGTATTGACATGATCCAAAAATCAAAATGCTCAGGACACATGATTCTAACCGTAAAGTTATATTTTATGAAAATTTACACACGAAATTATTGCACAGGGTGTTTTAAAGTTGAGGTAAAAAAACAACCCCTCGATTAACCCTGTATAATATGCCAAATACTAAAATTTATATAAAAAACTTAGTTTACGAATCAAAGTTGATATAATTGTATACAGTTTGCTAAAAAAATCATGAAAATAGGGCTAAAAATAACAAAAATATAACACTTCAAATTTTGACCAAAATTTTCTCCGTTGCGTTTTTTTTTGCATCTAAGTGTATAAGCCTGCAAGTATCATATTAAATATCCCTGAAAACACTGCAAACGCAAACAATCTGCTATGTATTTTAAATCCCTTTATAATTTAAAGGGCCATAAGTAAACGCCCTTTAAATGTGTGAATAGTGTACCTCCATATAGAACATGCTATACACTCAAAAAGGTCTAACTAAATCAAACCCTATAAAATACACTCTTTTTTACCTTAATTTTCTCATAGGTAGTGTTAAGTTCCAGCCGGTGCACGAAAGGGTTGAGCAAGGGCTCGGTGTCACAGTCTATCTGCGATATGCCAGCCGCGAATTTGGCATTCATTTCGGATGTATTTTTACTCACGAAAATGTCACACGGTACAGTCTAATGTCGCGAGCCGCAATCAAACATAATGCCGCGCACTCACTGCCTAGCGCGAAAAAAACAACACTGCGAAGTACTGTGCGATCGAGATGCAGAACAGATATATTCGTCCAAGTCGGAATCCTTTGGTGTGTAAATCAACGCAGCCGTGGATAGTACTCGAATGTGGTACACCTGGAAATGCGCTGTTGTCAGGTTTATGTGTTAAATTTCCTACTACCGTTAAGGGGGTAAACTTGATGTTAATCTCATTTGACGCAGTTTGGGTGATTCACAGTGGCGTGCCGTATAGGGGGCACGGGGGGGCGATTACCCCCTCCGCCCTTAGCTCTGACTGAGTGACGCGCCCTAGTGAAATCGTAAAATTGAACGTACAATCTAACTATTCTCATTCTACGATTACGTTATGGTCTAGTCTTCTTATTTGTTAGTATTTTCGACATTTTCCTGACCAAACCAAACACTACTTCTTGTAATGTACCCCACCCCGCCCTTTTACCCACGGAACGCTACTGGTGATTCAGTGTTAACAACCCTCAGCGGCTATACTGAATAATTTTCCTTTAATCTCTACAGAGTGGTCTGTGGTAGGTTGTCCTCTATTAAATTAAATTACACAATTTAATAGAAAATAAAATATTTTTGTATTTCTCTATACTTTTACGAGTTTACATGAGTTGGTTAAAATATACAGGGTGGTCCGAACTGTATTTCGGAAACTTCGACAGCATATTCTGCAGATAAAAATAAGTCAAAATGTTCATATAAATGTATGTCCTAAAATGCTTAGTTTCGGAGAAACAGGGTGTAGAACTTTCATTTTTATTTCGATTTTTTCCAAATAATTTCTGTATAAGTAATGTCAATATTTGGGTGAAAATTGATGTCTGGGAGTTTTTTGACGTGAGAAATTTTATTTTAATGTCAATATGACTCCTATTTGTAGGGGGCTCCACCTACATGTGTTTTAACTGTTTTGAAGGGTAATAACTTTTCGTCCGTACCTGTATAAAACTACTGAGTGAGAAAATATACATCCCCGTCACTTTTTACGCAATAAATGTCTCTTGCTAAAAATTACTACGACCCACCGTTCTCCAGATAATTAGAATGGAAGTAGTTAATACATGTCATTATTGAGAAAAAATAAACACGTTGAGTAGATAAATTATTTGACTGAAATAATAAATTTGGGAAATTTTATTTTTTCATCATAAATTTTTCTGCAAAAAATAACGATAAAACAGTTTCTGTTGAACTTATGGCACAAAAACATTTCAAATTTATGATTTCTATCTAATAACTACCGTATGATCGAAAAAAAATGACATCCAGTTGGCTGGGAAATGACGATCGATCATATTTCCCATATAAATTTACATATAAAATGACAGCGATCTTCATTTCATAGCTATCGCTGACGCCGTTTTTTTTTCGATCATACGGTATTTAGTCAACATGTTTAATTTATGTCAGTAATGACAGGTATTAATAATTTTGACTCCAAATATCTCGTAGATTTTTACCAAGAGACCTTTCTTACGTAGAAAATGTCGTAAACGTATATTTTTTTACTAATTTGTTTTATACAGGTACGGACAAAAAGTTATTACTCTTCAAACCAGTTTAAAAATCTGTAGGGAGCACCCTCTACAAGTAGATGTCATATTGATATCAAAATCAAATTTCTTATGTCAAAAAACTCCCAGACACCAATTTTCATCCAAATATTGACGTTACTTCATAAATTATATGGAAAAAATCGAAATAAAAATTAAACTTCTACAACCTGTATCTCCGAAAGTAAGCATTTTAGGACACACATTTATACGAACTTTTTTCCTTATTTTTATCTGCAGAATATGGTGCCGAAGTTTCCGGAATACTGTTCGGACCACCCTGTATAGACCAAACAATTCTCATTTTTAGTCACTCCTCTTCTGCTGTTGTTTCGCATATCATAGTATCTTTCAATATTCGCCCTAAGTTTAGTATCCTCGGTATTTTTTGGTTAAGCAACCATTTTTCGATCATTAGATTTTGAACAAATTAATCCTTCACAAAGGCATAGACTTTATTTTATAATAAAGCTTTTTATTTTTTTCTAGTATTTAATAACTTAAATACTAGGCCATCCTGTGTAAAATGTAGTAACAAAAACGACAATCTTGCTATACATCACCGAAAAATAAATAGATAGTCTGATGTTATTTTTTAATAAAACAAGTCAGTTTTATGTCATATTTGGGTCGCACGTGTAAAATTATCCTATAAAATGCAATTAAATGATATATTGTGTAAGAATTTTATTTGTGAGTATAATTTTAATATTTATACTTTCTCTGGGCTTTCACTTTTACTAAAAAAAAATAAGGATATTTAGGGATCAGGAACAACGTTGATGAGTTCGTTTTAACATTTGCTGTATTGAGTTTTTAACATGACGGTTGAAAAAATATTTAATGACGAGGAATTGAGAATCAGTGTGGCAACGGTGCATTGCCACGGTCAGGGGAAAGTTGCGGATCGATGGACGCACGTCTGCGCTTACTTCCGCGACGCCCTGAGCGTATCCGACGCCGGCGCCAATCCTTTTCCCGCGAAAGAGCGTCGCGCTTCAGCTGAACTGATTCTTCAGATATTTAGGCAACCAAATATACACATAATTATATTTTTTTGTATTTATCATTGTAGGTTGTATTTAACATTAAAATTAGATCATTTTTTTCTTACTTGATCGACTAATTATTTGATTTTTTGTACATTTCTCAAATTTAAGCTAATAGAAATAAAATTTAGACGAGAATTTGAACAAAAAGCGTCAATTTCCGAATATTTTTGCTTCAGGAAATATGGAGAAAAATATAATTTTTTATTTATTTATATATAGAAAACCAAACCATACCAAAATACATTAATATGGCATTATTTATCTCTGTATACAAATGTGGTTTATTTGTCGGAGGATATTATCGCTCAGGGCCAGTCAACTGAGATATACGACCTTGAACGATCTTTTTTTGGGGTAGTAATTTCCTGGGGCGCTAGATGGCGCATTTTTATTTTAATTTTTCTAGTTGCCTAACAATTGCGTACAAAATTGTTTTTATAGTTGCCTAAATAGGCCTATTAATTATGTTCTGTCATTGTTCTGTATGTCAAATCAGTTTTCCGTTTCCGGCTTCCTCCTTCCTCTTCAGTTGTGTTTTGCAATTGAACGGAGATGTGCGTTTCGCTGTTTTCTGGTTGTTTGGCTGTGTTTCTTGCAATCTTCATTTTACAATCGTGATTTTGTATTTTTGAACTTTGTTTTGTGTTTGATTTTTAAGATCTTTATTAAAGGTAAGGTTTAAGTTAAAGGTCTTTGATTTATCTAACAATTTTATTTAATAATCCGAGAAAGTGAGGTGAGGTAACCTAACCAAGTCCAAATGTTCGTGAATTTTATTTTTTAACAATGTAATATTTACAACGCCATATATTTTTACAAATAAAAATTGATCAATTCCATATTTTTGTACATAAACTCCACAATGTGATATTACACAATTGTTGAAGTCCATATGTAAAAAATACACGTAAATAAAACATTGTTTCTAATGGACGTCACTTTCTCTTGTATTCCAACGATATTTGTTATGTGTTCTTAAATCTGGTACTATAATAAATATTATACTTTTTAATCTGTTGTTTTATTTGTTTGTAAAATGTTTCATGGTATAATTTTCTATAAATTAAAATAAATTATTTATTGTAGGTTTTTATGCACATAAAATGATATAAGCAAACCATTTAACACTTTACAATAGTTTAACCTTTATATATAAATCCTTGTTTTTTACCATTTGACTTGTTTGCCAACTTGGGACCAATCAGATGACTACACATTATTCTGTAGAAATCTGATTGGCTCTAACTGGCGAACAAGTCAATACGTCTTGCTTAAAAATAAATTGCATCTATTTAAATTTGCCGCCACATTTGTTACTTTCCTGGGTGGCTAGATGGCGCCACTTCAATATACAGATTACAGATTTCTTTACAAATTTCAAACCGTTTTGAAACTAAAAAATGCATGGGAGTTAGCGTTCTTCTTTAGTGTGTTCTGTGATTATCGCCTTCATGATTTTAACGTTTTGTGTGACAAGTAATATGTTTTATCTACAACCGTTTAGAACGTTTTTCCATCACTATTTTTTTAGTATTTCAGTTACGTTATGATATTCATAACACAACTAGTGGTGTTATGAATCTATAACACAACTATTTTTTATAATAATGAAAAACAACTACGAACATCTAAATATATTAATTTTTGATACAAATTCCTACTACTAATTATTATAAATAATAACACCACATTTTTTACACTTCTTCAAAACAATTCCTGCTGCTGATGATGATGACGATGATAATAATGAAGGTCTAACTGAAATAGATTGGGCTGTTGATCGGTTTGGCTCGCACTCGGGCTGGCATTCTTCTTCAGCGATTCTTGATCCCAAAATGTGCTGCGCAACAATTTTCTTGTTTTCTTTTGATGTACCTATATATATATCCCTCTGCGACGGAACTCATGGTACAAAGAAAAACAAGGTATGATCGATAGCGGCTCCAATTTCGTTAAGTTTACGCATACCACCTGTGACGTCATACGCCATACAAAAGAAATATTCAATTGCCACTAATAAAAAAAGACCAAAAATAGGGAAGAATTAGGACATAACCCCAAAAGTTAAGTTTTGACATCAAGCTTCACATTTGAAAAATTATTTTCACATTTTGACACAATCAAATTTCACAGATGACACAATCTGTTTGACAATTTGAAATTTGCGCGCAGAGGTTGCCGACCAATGGTGCAGTTTATCACCTGTGACCTGGTGACCAACCTGCGCAATATCATACCTTGTATTCTTTGTATCATGGACGGACTACTTCTCCAACCTCCATGACGCTTAACCATTAGTAGATCTGCCCCCGAGTCCGCTAGCAATGAGGCAGATGTGCGTCTAAAAGCGTGTCCTGTATACTTCTCCGGTTCATTAAGGCATGAAAAACAAGTAATTTTTAAGTAAGTTTTTTTTAAGTAAAAAAAAATGTGACAAATGTCATAGTTAAAGGTGTTAAAGGTGGGCGACCAATAAACTAAAATTAAAACAGCATTTTCTTATTTTTCGGTTGTAGATAAAACGTTGTACATGACACGTGCGTTTAAACATGATTACAACACTCGTGTGATTAGAACAACTCTGTCTACGACCTCGTCGTTCTAATCGTTCACACTTGTACTGTAAATAACTATTGTAGGTTACTTTAGGAAATAGTATATTGTTTTATTAAGAGTAAAAAGTACACTTTTGTGGCATACGTTTGACACAAAAAGTCATTTTTACTCTGAATAGAACATGCCATTTTTTTAAAACGCCCACAAATTATTTTTTAAACAATTTCAAACGTTCCAAATAATATAAAAAGATAGTAATACCCTGTATGTAACTATATACTGAGAAACTATCGTTACGCTCGTTGAATTTGAAACTAAAAAGTCATTTTAACGCCTAGGCATAAAAGTAAAGCACTTTTACGCCTAAGCACAAAAGTACGAAAATGTATTATTAAACTGACATAAAGTGTCAAATTCAACGAATGTAACCATAGTGTCTCGAAATACAGGGTGAGTCTTAAATAAGTGCAAATATTTTTAGTGGTAGTATATTTCTACCCCAGAAACAAAACCGTGGTTTTTTTTTCGCGAAAAAAAAAATTTGAAAATTTGGAAATTTTGAAATTTTTTGAAATATTTAATTAAAAAAGATAATATATTTATAATATGGCACCATAGGTAGTAGATTAAATTTAGTAGTAGATTAAATTTACAAGAAAGAAAACCCAGAAAATATCCAGTGTCAGTTACTAATAAGTCAGTGTCAGTTTAACTATAAGTTTCTTTTGAACGTCGGGATGAAAATAAGACGTGATTCTGTAAGCTTGATGAAAATAAGACGTGAAGCTGTAAGTGTTTTTTTTATGTATTGAGAAATAATAATATTTTGCATTGAAAAATATGTCAATTTCACAAATAACAAAGTAAAAAATTGTCAATTTTCAAAAAAATTAAGAAAAGCCCCAAAAATTACAATTGTTAAAAATTTTTCATCGATACTTTGTTTTAGGATCATGATCAATCACTAATCCTTAAATTCCTAACCCAGGAATTCCTAAAAAACCTAACCAAACACAATATTGCAAATTATTTAAATCATTACTTTTTGGTCTGTACAACATTATTGTGTAAAAATATATTTCAGTCATCCTGTATATCCTGTGAAAATATTTTTAAAATTTTCTAATAAAAAATTAAAACACACTTAATACAAAAACTCTAATTATGATACAATTTTTACCTAAAATATTTCTAAAGGCTCATTTAGAATCTCGAAATTAGTAGAATTAGTAGTTTCAATTATTATATACAGGGTGTCCCAGATATAAGTACAATTATTTTAACTCACAACCCCAGAAACACGCTTATGAGGTTTTTTTTACGAAATTAAAAATTTGGAATTTTTTGGAAAAAATTTTGGAAATTTTTTCAGTTTTTAGTAAAAAAACATAATTTCTTGATAATATGGCAACATAGGTAGTAGATTAAATTTACGAGAAAGAAGATCTAGAAAAGATCCAGCAGTTCCCAAAATTTTAGCAAAAAATATTTTTTTTTTGGAAATTTTCACTTATAATATCACAAGAGCTTAAATTATTTTCGGAAATTTTTTTGAGGGCACGAATATTTTGAAAATTAATAATTTTCCTAAAATATTCGTGCCCGAAAGAAAATTTCCAGGAATAATTTAAGCTTGCGTGGTATTCGGTAAGAAAATTTCACACCTAAATTTGAAAAAAATATTAATCCAACATGACATTTTAAAATAATTTCAATTTGTTAAGTTGGCCAAGGTATTGATGTTTTTGACATATTATGTGTTTGTCATTTTTGTTTGCGATTCTGTCATTAAGCTATTACTAGTTTTAAAACGTCTGTACGTAGAGTAAGAAGTGTATAGCGAAATGTCGCGATTTGGAAAAGTAAACCAACAAGTCATTAAAGAAGAAATTGAAAATATAAAACCAGATAACACCCGAAAAATACCAGCTTTAGTTAAATAAAGGCGGCAGAACTATATTTTTTAGAACATGGCAATTTCGAAGAAATTCATATGTAGGTATATCTAACATATTTCCTTAAATAAAAAATATTACCAACCTTAGTTACATCAAATGCTAAAACTCAAATGGGTAATATTTCAATATATAGACATTGTAGTTCATTCACATTATGATAGTAGATCTTATGTTTACCTTTTCAACTGTCAAAAAATTTCCACTAAAGTTTCGTGGCGCCTCGAAAAAATTTCCGGAAATTTTTTCAGTTGCCATGGTAACTAGTCAACATTAAAGCATGTTATTGGTTGAAAAGTAGAGGTGTGAAATTTTCAAAGTAAAATAATTCCGCTATTTTGGACTGAAAAACGAACTGAACTTTGAAAAACGATAAAGAGAAAATATGTTTCTTTTACCGAGATCTACCACCCCTTAAAATACTTGCACTTATTTCTGAGACACCCTGTATAATTACTTGCATACTTAAAAATTTACCAACAATAAATTTATCATTCACAATGTCTAAAAAAATCCAATTAAAATTAATAGAATATTCTTCTAGCAACTGCTTGCGCTAGTCAGTTGTACCCTTGTTTATATATTATAATCAAGGGTTGTACCCACAGAGAAAGCCTAATAATTAGCTTATAAAACAATAAAGCTTCATTCAGAAGCTCGGAATTAGTGGAATAAATTAGTGGTTTCAATTATACTTTATACTTTTTAGTTTACGATCATTCACAATGTCTAAAAAACACAATTAAAATTAATAGAATATCCTAGCAACAGCTGCGGTAGTCAGTTGTATTCATAGAGAAACTTAACCTAACCTAACCTAATCTAACCTAACCACAATTTCTCTTGACGAAAGATAATCAAAGGCCAAAATGACATTTCCCGCAAATTTTGAAGTATAATTAGTGGAAAAGTTAAACGTTTGATAACTTTTTCTACTAATTGAAAATGCCTACCACTAATTTTGATGTTCTGAATGCTGAGATTGAAATTACAGGAACAAACTTCTACGCTTATTGAAACCACTAATTTGTTCCACTAATTGCGAGGTACTGAATGAAGCTTAAACTTTTCATTTCTAACAATTTCTCTTGACGGTTGATAATAATTAATCAAAGGCCAAATTGACATTGATTGCAAAAGTTAAAAGTGTGTTAACTTTTTCCACTAATTTTGACGTTCTAAATGCTTACATTCAAATTAGAGGAGCATACTTCTACGCTAATTGAAACCATTAATTTATTCCACTAATTTCAAGGCTCTGAATGAAGCATAACTATTTTCCATTTTTAAATTGGTAAATATTTAAGTGAGATTTATAAAAATATCACCTAAATAAAAATATACCGCTTATTAAAAAATATGTTAAGTCTCTCACGCTCTGCTCCATCACGTACTTGAAATTTTCTAATTCCCACTTCGGTACAATGTGACGACAGCGGCACAAGTGCAACAGACGAAAAAAAGTGCACATTGTAACGCCGAACACATCGATACGACGCCGTGTCGGCGCCGGCGTCGTATCGATTCTTCTCACGATATCGAGTCTAGTCGGTGAGAGTGCTACATCGAAATTGGACGCTCTATTCATCCTTTTCATGTCGCAGGTATGTAGAAAAGGTTTTTTTCTGAATGAAAATCACTTTTAAAGAGTTGTATAAATATGCTTACATGAACGTTGAAGAAAAAATTGGCTGTTGCCACTTTTAGAACAAACCTGTGTATTTTTTCAAAAAATTAATAAATTTCATGAGTGGTTAAACATGCATTACGTGACTGATATTCACAAAAAACCTTGTCATCGCCCTACAAAGGGAAAAAACATCGATTTTGCCAAAAATGTCATTAATCATCAAAATCTGCTGTCTAGATCAGGCAAGAAATGACTCTGCTAATGTCATTGGTTTTTTTCGTATTTTTAAAAGAAATTACTATATTTTAAAGAAAACTTTATGATTTGCTCCTTTTATGTCACAGTTATGTAAAAAATACTTTTTTTCAGAATGAAAATCACTTGAATGACGCTAAAAAAATACATATTCTTAGTTTTAACTGTATTATACATAAGTTTAATGGTTTAAACTGTTATATTTTTCTTACTTTTAGCCCTACTTTGAATGAATTTGGCTTATTACACAGGGTTAATTGAAGGGTTGTTTTTTACCTAAACTTTAAAACACATCATGTGCAATAATTTCGTAAGTAACTTTTCCTGAAACATTATTTTTCGATCAGAACCATGTCTCCTGAGCATTTTCTTTTTTGACTCATGTCGACACGTGCCTTGGTTACTTTTTAAGAGCAAAATGAACTTGCCACTTACAATTTGCAATTTTCTCAATTATTATTACTTTATAATGTTATTTTTTAATATGACGAGGTGGTTTTCACTGATTTAGAAGTCTATATTAAAATTTAAAAAAAAGTTATAAAGTAACGATACAGGTTTGGTTTTAATAAATATTAGTAACACTGACAGAACTAAGGATATTAAAAAAAATCTGTAGTAAGTGTGTACAAACAAACAAAAAACGTAATAAAAAAACTTAATTAAAATACTCTAATACTTTGTATTGCCTCCCCGGTTGGCATTTAAGCAAAATGTACCATTATATAGTCCATAATGTGATTTTCCCTGCTCTCATTGGTTGAGACTAAACGCTGGTGCGTTTTGCCAACCGTGACTAAAACGTGGTACGTTCTGCCATATTCTTTCCAGCAGATTACACTAACATATTATAAACGCCATTATTAAAATCTTTGATTTTTAGGAATTACCACAGAATTATCCTATTTAATATTTGATCGTCTTTTTTAGACCAGCGTGAAATGTTAAGAAAACGCCTATTTGATAAAAATATTAGTCTGACACTTCTGAAAAATTGTTTGTTTGATTTCCGTGTGTCGTGGCGTCTCTGTAACACAGACAGGTATATGTGGGAAGTCAATATACATAATTTAAAATTATTCTGAAATGTACAAGGTGTGTCAGAACTAAGATCCATACCAAAGTGTGTTATATTTTTCTTATGGAACACTAGGTATTTTATTTCATTTTTGGATTTTTGAACATAAAATAAGGCATTTATTATAAGGGTTTAATATGTTTAAATGCTTTGATTTTTGAGATATTTAAAGATATTTAAATATGCATGCTATGATAAAAAAGTTTGTCAACGCCTTGTACATTACTTTTCAGAATTAATTCTTGTGCTGACTTTCAAGCCGGAGATATAAACCTTACTAAAAAATGTGATTGCTTCCTTAAATGTATACAGGGGTATCAAAAATTGCGTCATACATAGAAATAACGAAGTTTTTATGTAAAATAAATATTTAAAATAGACCAGCAATTTTTGATATCCCTGTATACATTTAAGAAAGCAATACATTGTTTTAGTAAAGTTAATTTCTCTGGCTTCAAAGTCACCACAAGAATAAACTCTGAAAAGTAATGTACAGGGTGTTGACAAACTTTTTTATTAGAGCATGCATATTTAAATGTCTTTAAATATCTCAAAAACCAAAGCATCTAAACATATTAAACCTTATGCCTAATTTTATGCCCAAGAATCCAAAAATGAAATAAAATACCGGGTGTTCCATAAGAAAAAATATAACTTTGGTATGGATCTTAGTTCTAACACACCCTGTACATTTCAAAATAATTTTAAATTATGCACACTGTTTCTCTACATATACCTATAAAAAAATTTCCGTTTAATCAACCGAGGCGAATGAGGTGCGCCACCCTGTATAATAATGGTCGATCTTCTTTGAAAACTGCGTGATTTTTGTTCCAAAGCCACCTCCATACAGCCTGTCCAATACGGAAAGAACAAAGTAAAAGTTCACCGTACAATCCAGGCAACTGAAATTAGTCGCGAAAATTCTGAAATCCATCGCAATCTTCTGCTGTTTTTAGTTTTTAGTTCAGCATAAATAATACTACCTTAAACCAAATCTTCTTTTACACCGTATCGAAATTCAGATGTCATGGTAGATATCAGATGTCATGGTAGATATGTCATGGTAGATATCAATTAAAAATGCCAAAGTTTAGTCAAACACACAAAAGCAACGTCTGTCTCTTGGTCTGTCTAATGAAAACTACTTGAGAGAAGCGTATTACGGCGGCTTGTTTTTGGGGAAGTTGTCATATCAATCCGTCAATTGTTTTTTATTTTTCTCAGGGCAATTGAAAAGGTTAATGCCATTCGATCTCAGGCATAATACACCACGTTTTAGTAAAGCTTAGCAACATGTACCTGCGTTTGGAATGCCTCACGCTAACGTGGCAAAATGTACCGCATTTTAGTCATGTTTGGCAAAACGCACCAGCGTTTAGTCTCGACCAATAAGAGCAGGGAAAATCACATTATGGACTAAATAATGGTACATTTTGCTTAAATGCCCCCGGTTGATATAACTGTCGGTTCATACTGTCAAGAGCAAGAATTTAAATATTTATCATTAAAATAAATTGCCCAATCTATACTAATATATAAAATCCTTAAGTGACTGACATACTGATTAATCACGATCCTGCTCAAACCACTCAACGTAAGAAGCTCAATTTTGGCATACAGGTTGATTCTAGGGTGTAGAGGTTCAATAAGAAGGGATTTTTCGAAATTCCAGTTCCAAGAGGGTGAAACCACCGCTCAAATATTACAATATTTTTTATTTAAAAAACGGTCAAGTTTCCGAAAAAACGCTTAAACACGTATATTTTATTTTGTTTTTTACATATTTTAAGATTTTTTAAAAATGTATACAGGGTATCGAAAAATCTGGTCATTGATTAATCACGATCCTGCTTAAAGCGCTTGACGTAAAAAGCTAATTTTTGGAAAACAGATTGACTTTAGGGTGTAGAGGTTCGATAAGAAGGGATTTATCGAAACTCGAATTCTAAGGGGGTAAAACTATCCCTCAAATATTAAAATATTTTTTATTTAAAAAACGGTTAGTCTTTTGGGAAAAACCTGGACAAGCATAATTTATTTTGTTTTTTTACATATTTTGAAATTTTTTAAAAAATCATAATGGGTGTTCCAAAAAGTTGGGTAATTTCTTAACCACGTTTCTGCTTAAAGCGCTTGACGTAAAAAGCTGATTTTTGGGAAACAGATTGACTTTAGGGTGTAGAGGTTCGATAAGAAGGGATTTTTCGAAACTCGAATTCTAAGGGGGTAAAACTATCCCTCAAATATTAAAATATTTTTTATTTAGAAAAAGGTGAGTTTTTCGGAAAAACTCCTAAATACATATATTTTATTTTGTTGTTTTATATATTTTTTATTATTTTAAGATTTATTTTTTTTATAAATTTATACAGGGTGTTTTATAAATTATTACCATTGAGTAATCACGATTCTGCTTAAACTGCTTGACGTTTAAAGCTGATTTTTGGCAAACGGATTGACTGTGGGGTGTAGAGGTTCGATAAGGAGGGGTTTCTCGAATCTCAAATTCCAAGAGGGTGAAAACGCCCCTCAAATATTACAATATTTGTTATTTAAAAAACGGTTAGTATTTCGGGAAAAAGCTTGGACAAGCATAATTTATTTGTTTTTTTTACAAATTTTGAAATTTTTGAAATGATTCTGCTTAAACTGCTTGACTTAAAAAGCTTATTTTTGGCAAACGGATTTTTCGAAAGTCAAATTCCAACGAGATGAAACTACATCTCAAATATTACCAAGTTATATAATAATATCACCATATTGTTTTTTTTCATGCTGACATAAATGTGAGAAAATTTTATCCAGTTTGTATGTTAATGGAAATTCTTGCTTTGCTTTATCATCACCATTACAAATGATTAATTCGACGCGAACGAAGTCGCTGGTACACGCCAGTATATTATATTTCTTTTTTTTTATTTAATAAAATATATTTCTATAAACATAGTATTTGCACAATAAAAATTAAACTAGAACAATTTGACGTCAGACTATGATCTGAAGGTGAACTTTGTTTAATTCTTATTGTTGTAAATATCAATATGTAGAATAATTAAAAAGAAAATGAGAAGGGAGTCGGGGGTCTCTCAGGGAGAATGAATTAAGAAGTCACGCTGGTCAGTTGAGTTGAGTTCTCCAAGTATCATAATGACAGCAAAGTAAGTTTATAATTTTTTTTATATTTTCTCTTAGTATATTTTATTGGTCAAAAGATATTCTACTTGACATTTCTCCTACCTAAATTAATGTATTTAATTCTTTAATAGATTTATATTTTGTTTTTATATATATTGATTGTTTCAATGATCTTCGATACCTAAAACGTCCCGCAACCCAGGGTCGCGACATGTTAATGTGGCTGTAAATATATTGTGTTATATTTTCCCATTTTTCTTAAATGACCAAGCGAATATTCATAATTTCGGCCATCTTCAAAAAAGATCGATGACTTTTGCACAATCTTCGAAACTAAGAATCATATTCATTATGAAGAATAATATCAAAAAGTAACGATAATTGAAAAAATTGCAAATTGTTTATGGCAAGTTCATTTTGCTCTTAAAAATTAACAAAGGCATATGTTGACATGAGCCAACAAACAAAATATTCAAAACACTTGTTGATTCTGGTCGGTTAAAAGATGCCCCAATCGTATTTTTAATCATATCTTAATTTTTTCAAATGGAACGAGAGTGACTCATATTTGGAAAAAGCATTTTTCTTACGAATAATTTGGTAACCAACCCTTGGTATTTCGACTCAAATTGTCATTATGAACCGCATGTTACAATTTCAAATAAACCATATGCGAAAATGTCAATAATTGACATATGTCATTCTATTCAGAGTGTCATTTTATATCGAATAATGTAAAAAATACCAAGGGTGTCATTTAAAAATCAAAAGTTGTAGTAATTTCCGGCGAAAAAGGTCAAATCAAAACTAATTTATGTCATTTACTAACATACTTAATCTTGTTCTTTTATCTGAAAAAAATTAAAAAGTTATAAGGGTGAGCAACTTTTCAGACGCATCCGGTATTAGACTAGAAATGCTAACTAAACTAATCCTGCTAACGTCATTGTTTTTCGCAATTTTTTAAAAAATTGTCTATTTTCTAGCTATGTTGCAAGTTAAATAATCCTTGTCATCCAGATATTATGTTTTTTAATTAGAAATTTAAAAACAAATCAAAAAACTGTTGAAGAGCAAAACAATTCAATCAAGACCAAGACTGCAACAAGGGTACTGGGACCTATGAATGGCATTGATGAGCCTTGCTTGACTATTTGCAGTGCTCATGCTAACATAACAGTAAATTTTTTAATTAACTTTCAGAAAAATCAATCATGATTCCCCCCAACACACCATCAGAGTTATAGGATTTTTCTTCCAGAACTCCAGCACTCGCACTCTATAACACATCAGCACTTACAGCCACCGACCACAATGGCCAACACAGCGCATCTTGTCCGCAGACAAAGCTCCAGAGATCTGAACTCTCAACGCTCCGTAGACCGTCTGGAACTTAAAGAAATGCGAGGTAGACTAGTACCGATAGAAAACGGCAGTTCTGGAAGCTACGGCGCTACCAACATAGCCTTCGAAGACACCAGCCCAAACAGCAAGATCAAATCGAGTTGCAGCAGCAAAAGAGGCTCGCAAGATGGCAAGGCCATCTTTAAACCAGACTGTGCTGAAGAAGAACGTGAGTCATGGGACAGCAAGTTGACCTTTCTGTTGGCTACGGTGGGTTATGCCGTGGGGCTGGGTAATGTGTGGAGGTTTCCATATTTGGCGCAGAAGAATGGAGGTGGTGCTTTTCTTATACCTTACTTTATTATGCTGGCCATCGAAGGGATACCGATCTTTTACTTGGAACTGGCTATAGGGCAGAGGTTGAGGAAGGGAGCTATAGGAGTGTGGAATCAAGTATCACCTTTTTTGTCAGGTAAGTTATAAGGAGTTGATTGGATAATGATTGAAATATTTGGTTATTCTGATTTTTTGAAATTCAAATATTTATCGGCTGTGAGAACTATGATCCATTAGTGACGAAACTAAGGTCGAAACAAATCAAAAATTCAATAATATGATTAATTTTTGGACGATATTTAAATTCGTTTTTAATAATAAGTGAGACTAACCAAAGCGAGATGAGAAATAAATGAATTTTGTCCATGACCACTTAATAATAAATCAATATTCTACTTCCTAGCTGAAGGAATATGGTGCCATAACCCCCAGCTGATAACAGTGAATTATGATAAATCACACTTTGCATTTACTTTACTTAGCCCACGGCCACACAGAAAGCGTTTTTAGCGTTTTGCGTTTTTTGCGTCTCAAGCGCTTTTTACGATTTTATCGTTTTAAGCGTTTTTTTCGATTTGTGTCCATTAAAAACACGCAAAAGACGCGGCAAGCTCGTGGATTCCCGGCCCGTTCAACAATCAGTCCTGTGAGAAAGAGATAGGCGAGATCGGCGCGGTTAGCGTTGAAGAGACGAAGATAAAAGATGCTGGGATTGAATTGTGGACAGGCCGGGGCATATATTCGGCGACAAACACAATCTACTGCTAGTGCCAGTGGTGTGTGTAAAAATAATAATTTGCCATTTATTTTACGAATTTTAGTTTATATGTGTATAGTTATTTTATGTTGTATTGTTGTGGTTACTTGTTATAGTTTTTTATGTTGTAGTGTTGTGGTTACTTGTTGTAATTATAATATAATATAATACAATAAAGAATTATAATTATATAATAGAATAGTAAATATATATTACTAGTTGCTAACGCAATTTTAGGACATGATTTATAAAACTTTTTGCAGTAAAACTTCTTTACGCGCGCTGGGAGTAAACATTCAAGGCCGTGACATACGAGCTAGCGAGACGGCCCTGGCACACGAGCTACTTGTAACGAAACGTGTTAACGGCTTAGAAATACGTAGTGACGCGACGTGTATTTGTGAGCAATCCACGTGTTTATCAAAAATATTGATATTTTAATACAAATTTTTTAAAAGTGAATCAAATTATTACTTGTAAAAAACCATTTGTTACACGTAAAAAACTATTTTTATTATTTTACACGTATAAAACTATTTGTTAAACGTAAAAAACTATTTTTTTACGGATCATAAACTTATTGTTTCTGGTAAAAAACCTTTTTTACGCAAAAAGAAATATTTTTTACGTGTAAAAAACTATTTGTTACACGTAAAAAAACTATCTTTTTACGCGTCAAGAACTTATTATTTCTGGTAAAAAAACTTTTTTACACAAAAAAAATATTTTTTACGTTTAAAAAACTATTTGTTACACGTAAAAAATATTTTTTTACGCGTCAAAAACTTATTGTTTCTGGTAAAAAACTTTTTTTACGCAAAAAAAATATTTTTTACGTGTAAAAAAACTATTTGTTACACGTAAAAAACTTTTTTTACGCGTCAAAAACTTATTGTTTCTGGTAAAAAAACCTTTTTTACGCAAAAAAAAAAAATTTTTTTTACACGTAAAAAACTTTTTTTACGCGTCAAAAACTTATTGTTTCTGGTAAAAAAACCTTTTTTGCGCAAAAAAAATATTTTTTACGTGTAAAAAACTATTTGTTACACGTAAAAAACTATTTTTTACGCGTCAAAAACTTATTGTTTCTGGTAAAAAACTTTTTTACACAAAAAAATATGTTTTACGTGTAAAAAACTATTTGTTACACGTAAAAAACTAATTTTTACGCCTCAAAACCATTTGTTTCTGTTAAAAAAACCTTTTTTACGCAGAAAGAAAAACACTTTTTACGCATAAAAAACTATTTTTTACGCGTAAGAAAATATTCCCTTAATTTATTAATTTTTCAACATTTCATTAATAGAATCTTTCTAAACAGTAGATATTCTCTATAAAAATATTTTTAGATAATATCCTAAACTGAAAAAAATGCTATTACTATTTAATTTATTTTTATTGTATTATTAAATATTACGTTCGCCTATGACGGGGTCTCATAGAAAACGCTACAGACGCTACAGAAAACAAATTGATTTGTTTTCATTTGCGTTTTTTTGCGAGACACGCCGACCGCTAGACGCTTTGGTGGGGCCACTCCTATAGAATCCTGTTATTTTGTTTTAGACGCAAAAGACGCTTCACGCTAAAAACGCAAAAAACGCTTTCTGTGTGGCCGTGCACTTACTTATTTTATTTGTTGCTATGCCAACGTAACACTCACAACATCCCGATGCGCAGCGCGCGGCGTGGATGATTTGACGTTTTTCTTATCTTTTCTTTTTATTAATTTTGACGTTTAAAATTGTCAAATGTTAAGTAGGTAGTGATTATTAAGTGGCATATCAAGAACTTGTTTAAAATAAAAAAAAATGAATTATGAGATTGATTATGAGTCCTGTACACCTCCAGAGATAGCAGAGGCGGGCAATTTAACAAGTCTTGGATTGCTACCACAAAAGTCTAAGGATCATTACATGTCTACCTATAAAAACTTTCTAGACTGGAGGATTGCTAAAGGCATAAATTAATTTTCCGAATCCGTGTTATTAGTATATTTAGTTGCCATTGTAACGGAACAAAAATCAATCTCCTGATTGACAAAAGAATGTCGGTACGATATTTTCATGCAAAGAACTTGAAATAATATCAATGAAATTCAAATACCTATATAACTTTAAATAAAATACAAATTACCAACTATAGTTACACAAAACAACAAAAAGGCAGATGCTGGTACTCCAATTTATCATTCTCCAACAACTGTACTCAACAACTCAACTAAAGTTGGTAGAAGTATGTTTTATTGCAAAAAACTTGAAGCAGCATCAATAAAATTCAAATACAAATATATATAACGATAAATCAAACACAAATTACCAACTTTAGTTACACAAAACAACAAAAAGTCAGCTACTGGTGGTACGATTTATCATTTTTCAAAAAATTTATTTCATTAAAGGTGGTAGAAAAAAGTACTTATATACATGTATGTCGTAAAACACATCTAATAATAAACTTCCCAAATATTTGAAAATAGAATAGTTAGCAACTGATGATATTGACGTTTATATATATATATATATATATATATATATATATATATATATATATATATATATATATATATATATATATATAACTATATAAGGTAATGACATTTTCCCCTAAAACATGAATACAATAAAAGTATAGTGTTCAACTCGCAATTTATAGCCATTATTCACTCGGGTGACGTTTGCGTCACGAGCCGTAGGCGAGGGGCGTGAATAATGGCTAGCATAAATTGCTCGTTCAATAATATACTATAATCTTTAGATTTTCTAATAATTTAAAAATTGAATAAGTGTATTAAAAATCTCTCGGAATAAATTTTGATAATAAAACGGCATACTAAGGTACCATAAACTTGTTTTATCCCAAAAAAGTTGTTAGAAGCTATCCAAGTATCCAATATACAATAAACCACATTTAAAATAGTATAGTAAGAAGTTCTACATACATATTTTTATAAATTTAAAAGATAAAATGTACCTTTTATGCGCTTACCTTATTGTTCCATCTTCTTTTGTTACTTCTAGGGAATGCAATCCCGTACCAAAATCTCAATCCCGCAAACCCGCGGGATTAAAGCAGTCAATCCCGCGGATCCGCAAAATTGCGGGACTGTAAACAATAGTCATACATTTGGTCCTAAATGGTTCAAAAGGCATTGTATATTTTGCATAGTCCCACAATATATTGATATAGCGTGTATCTTAAATTAGCTGTACAGATATTTGGACCGATGTATACAGGGTGTTCAAAAAATATATTTACTATTAAATAAACTTAAATTTTATTATAATTTATCTACTTATTTTATAAATAAAAATATTATTCTGATGTTGAAGTTTTTTTTAATTTGTGTTAGTTATCTGCTTTTAGATACACTCTATATCAATAATTGTTTGGCTTATGCAGAATGTACAAAGTTTTTTGTACCATTTAGTACCATACGTATGACTAAAAATGCATATTTTTATAAAAAACGTCGTATTTTCCTTAAAACAAAAAAATAATAAAAAAACCTACCAAATTGTTTTTTTCTAATTTCAATACAGATTAGTCGTACTTCGTAAAAATTTCGGTTTTTTAAAAATTGTAAATTTGCGGTAAAACAGATTCTTGACCAAATTTTCACACTCTTATATAACACCCTGTATACGAGAATTCGCTAAATATATTTTCGGAAACCATATAGCATCTTAATCACAATAGATGCATCTAAAACCTGGTCCAAACCGCATCCGAAAATCTTTTTTAGTTCAAGAGATACCTATTCAACTTTAAATTTACCCTAAAATTTTGCTTGTCCCGATAATCACATATTATGTCCGGCAGTTTATTTGACGAAATTGTCCACAAGTACTAGTTAAACGCCTTTTTTCACTTACGCATATACGCCAGAAAGAAATCTAACAAGTAACCTGTTTGTTTCACTTATTTTTAATGGTCAAGCCGTAAGGGGAATCCCCCGGATTCCGACCGTCGACGCATCGGCCCGGAACGAAACGGTTTGACCCTGATCGAGATCGATTCGGTTACCCAGTAGTAATGGGTCGATCCCGCGGATCCCGCACGGTAAATCCCGCAACTTTGATCCCGCGGAATCTCAGAGGGATCCCGCATTTGCGGGATCCAGCATTTGCGGGATTGCATTCCCTAGTTACTTCCTTGTTAAGAGTAGACGTTGAAATTAAGAATTTCGGTCCCACGCCTCTAAGTGACCGGTTTTTCCCGGTTTTCTTGGTACTTTCGGTACTAGCTAATTATTACTGTTCAGTAATGGCGCAGTTTGTCAATCAGCAATCAAGGGGTAGCTTTCAAACTATAATCGATAAAAATTGAGTATATTTTATTTTGTTTTTTACATATTTTAAGATATTTTAAAAATGTATATAGGGTGTTTCGAAAAATCTGGTAACTGATTAATCACGATCGTACTTAAAGCGCTTGACGTAAAAAACTGATTTTTGGAAAACGGATTGACTTTAGGGTGTACAGGTTCGATAAGAAGGAATTTTTCTAAACTCGAACCAAACCAAACCAAATCAAATATTAGAATATTTTTTATTTAAAAACCGGTGAGTTTTTCGAAAAAACTCTTAAACACGTATATTTTATTTTGTTGTTTACATATTTTATGATTTTTTAAAAATTTATATAGAGTGTTTCATAAAATATGACCATTGAGTAATCACGATTCTGCTTAAACTGCTTGACGTTGAAAGCAGATTTTTGGCAAACTGTGGGGTGTAGAAGTTCCATAAGGAAAGGTTTCTCGAATCTCAAATTCCAAGAGGGCGAAAACGCCCCTCAAATATTACAATATTATTTGTTATTTAAAAAACGGTTAGTCTTTCGGGAAAACGCTTGGACATGCATAATTTATTTTGTTTTTTTACACACTTTGAAATTTTTAAAAAAAATTATACAGGGTGTTCCAACAAGTTGGGTAATTGATTAACCATGATTCTGCTCCAGTTTGTATGTTAATGGAAATGCTTGCTTTGCTTTATCATCACCATTAGGTACAAATTATTAATTCGACGAGAACGAAATCCCGGGTACACGCTAGTATTATATAATATGAGATGACTCCCGCCTATTTAAAAATAAAAATATTACTTTACATCCAAAAGATTCAGATTTAAGACATTCTGTATTCTTACATAAATAATTACTGATTTTTAAACATATTTATACACAAACTAGGGAGGGGGAAATCAGACAATGAACAGAGATGATAGGTGTTAGGTAATAGCTTTGAGACAACCGTTCGAGACGCATTGATTTTATTTTAGTTTGTAAATTTTGGTCGTTGTGACAAAGAATGGTATTAAAGGTAAAGTAAATGTTTCTTCATTATTATTTAACTAATGCTCATCATCATCATCATTTAGCTTATACCGTCCACTGCTGAACAAAAGCCTCCCTTAACTCTAGCCATTTCCTTCTATTTTGTGCCACTTGAATCCAGTTTCCAGCCACCCTCTTAATGTCATCTGTCCATCGACTAGGAGGTCGTCCTCTGCTTCTATAGGCCTCGTGTCTCGGTCTCCATTCCACAAGTCTCTTTGTCCACCGTCCATTTGTCATCTTAGCCATATGTCCTGCCCAATTCCATTTAAGATGTAAGACGGATACCACCACATCTCTTACTCCCGTTCGATTTCGTATTGTATGATTGGGTATTTTATCTCTGAGTGTAACTCCCAACATGGACGTTTCCATTTTCCGTTGCATGACCTGTATTCTATAATATTCTAATTAATGCTAACTACAGCAAGATATTTTATTTTCTTGTTGTAATATTCTGTGCTAAAGATTTCACTGATTTATTTGATTTGACAAAGGTAATACATAACATGTGTATGTATTTAATGGATTCGATTTATGCTGTGAACAATTCCAGTTTAAAGGTAATCTAAAGACAGTCGTTTACTATCCATTTGTGCCATGTTTTTCATCCAGTGTGACAATAAGTCGTTGAGTATTCATTGAGTGTACTAATATTTTTCGACCGTGACTGGGCAAATATCTTAGCAAACAAATGAGCAATCAACACCTAAGAATAGAATAACTCATAGTCTAAAGATATTTGCACCAAACCTTCAACTTTAGCTTCGAGCCTGGAAACCAGCGACCTTAGTACCTGCGGGTGGGGACCTGCTTAACTAACAAAAACTCTTCAGTTTTGAATGAAATAAATGTGGCATGTTTTGAATGCATTAAACTACAAGCCTTGGTATGAGAGATGTTTCTCTTTGTAGTAAAATTTCAGAAGAAAAAGTCCGTCCGGACTATTAGTACTCAAAGGAGACCTAACCACACTGCAAAGTAAACCAAAAAAAGCTCGTTCGACGCTAGTTGGCGGAATTGTTAAAAGATGGTCATATTTATGCTTTAGGCAAATAACGCCCACTATCTCATCCTTTCTCAGAAAGGGCCATTTCAATCTTAAAAGACAGTAATAAAAATGATTTTTAATTATTGTTACTGAGTACCAAAAGAACTTGGAATAAATTTCAAATCCCAGTTCTTTGATGGCTCAAAAGAACCGGAATTCCCAGTACTTTTGGTTCCCAGTATTACCTGGTTCTGAACCCTAGTGAGTACGTGATCCTGTGCCCACAAGGTAGTACAGTAATACCCCGACTTACGCTACCTCGACTTACGCGAATTCGGAGTTACGCGATTTAATTTTCTCGTCTATTCGTTTTTTGTTTGAACGCCGTGCAGTCAAGGTCAAGCGGCGGCGTTTGTTTCTGACTCCCCCCGCCCGCATTATTATTCGTTCAGTTTACAACAAGCACATACGTGTAGTGCGGAATCGGCGCGTAGGTACATAAGTTACGATTTTGTGTTTTTTTGTGCGTTGTGCGACGACTTGAGATATTTACTAAGTACTATGGCATCCAAACGAAGTAGAACCGACTCTTTTGCTTTAAACAAGAAGAGAAAAACATTATCTTTGGAGTGTAAACTTAACATTATTAAAGACTACGATGCAAAAATAAAAATTTGTGATTTAGCGAAGAAGTATAGCTCATAACAATGCGTGAACAAGAGGAAGAAATTGATAATCATGATTCTTTGGATCCAGTTCAATTAGAAGATCAAATGACAGTTGGAAACTTGACAGAAGCCCTCAGTTCGATTGAAAAAGGGTTAACAATTTTGGAAAGCATAGACTCCAATGAAGAGCGCAGTTTTGTTACAAAACATGGAATAAAAAAATTACTAGGATGCTACGAGGAGATATTACGGGAGAAAGAAAAATCATTGACTTGTCAGACGACTTTGTTACAATTTATGAAACCTTCTACATCAAAATAACTTCGGATTGTGTTTATACACTCTATTAATATAGTTTGTATATTGTATTGTCATATTATTTAGAATTAGATACTAATTATTTCCTAAATTATTGTTTTATTTAGTCTCCAGTCCCAATTAAACATACTTTGTATGTCTTTATATGCAAAATTGTACCCCGACTTACGCGAATTCGACTTACGCGGATAGCGCTCAGTCCCACCTATCGCGTAAGTCCGGGGTATTACTGTACTGTAAAAAAACACCTATTGTAAAATGTACCCGATAATTTTAACAAGGAAGGGGATCTTATTTTTTTAGCATTTTTTGAAACAGCTTGTATAATTGTATTTTTTTTAGGTATTGGTATAAGCAGTGCCGTTGTCTCTTTCAACGTGGCCTTGTATTACAATACCATCATTGCCTGGTGCCTGTTCTATTTCGTCCAGAGTTTCCAGTCGAAACTACCATGGGCAGAATGTCCCAACGTGTACTTCCCCAACGGTTCCTACATTGCTGAGCCAGAATGCACCGTAAGTACCAAACTCTAGGTATATATTACGTTGATATTGTGTCTTTTTTACCATTAAAAATACCAAGTATATAAATTCTCAAAAACAAATAATTATTTTTTCCAATCTCCTTGTAATTCTGGTATGCAGTATTAATTAAAAACTGTACGTTATTGTCTAAATAACTAATTCTTGTATAGTTCTAGAGACTTTTCCATTTAAAATAAATTTCTTTATTTCTTTTTTTAATATAAAATAATAGGTAGATTTCCATGCAAATGAATTAGTAGACACGCTGGTTACAAATAGTCTGTGCTATTAGAAAACACTTGATTTTTGTTTAACTTGAATTTATTCATTCGCATTCCGTATAGCGAGTGTTTCTCGAAAGTGGCTCACTCCTATAACTTTTTTATTTTTTCAGATAAATAAAAAAATAAACGAGATTTGGTATGTTAGTATATGACATAATAGTCTAAGAGCTAGCAACGTTTTCGAGAAAGTATTTTAAGACGTCTGGCTCTTTGATATATCTTTTACTATGTTCTCTGGAACAGCATGCGGCCCGTCTGGCTGCCGATACCCGTTGCGTTCACTACTGCGCATCGGAAGAAGGTCCTATATTTTTTATTAATTTAGTCCTATAAATTCTAGTATTGAATATAAATCGAATATGTCTCCGTAGCGCAGTGCGTAGAGTTTCCGATCACGAACCGATGATCCAGAGTTCGAATCTGGGTCAGGGCAAAGACATTTTTATTTTATTTTCGTTTATATTCTGATAGTAAAGTATTATATAAATATGGTAATTCAAAAAAACAAATATTTAATATTTTACTAGCAGAATATAACGAAAATAAAATAAAAAGTCTTTGTCCTGACCTGGATTCGAACTCTGAATCATCAGCTCGTAGTCGGAAACTCTACGCACTGCGCTATGGTGACATGTTCTACCACATGTGTATTACCACAACTTTTGATTTTTAAATGGCACCCTCGGTATATTTCTACTTTATTCGATAGAAAATGACACTTTAAATAGAATGACCTATCATATGTCAACATTTGACATTTTCGATTAAAAATAATCATGTTTTAAATTTCAATCTTGAGTGCCATCCATGGCTGTGTTAAAAACACTAATTTTTAATCAAGCAGCCTTGGAAAATAGATTTGATCGTCGAATGTTTTTCGAATCTTGGTCTGGTTGGTTAAAAGATGTCCAAATTGTATTTTTAATTATAACTCAATTTTTTCAAACGGAACAAGGCTGGCTCATATGCATATTTGGAAAAAGCATTTTTATACGAATAATTTGGTACCACACCCTTGTTGTTTCGAGTCAAATTGTCGTTACATTTATGGCCATGGCACTCAAAAATCAAATAAAATGCTATTTTTTTAATTGAAAATGTTGGTTGGGTTAATTAAATTAATTGATAAATGTTAGTTGACATGTGATAGGTCATTCTATACAGAATGTAAAAATACCGACAGTATCATTTAAAAATTAAGGTTTGTAGCAAAGATATTTAAACTCGGGAGATACAACGATCCATTCATAAAACGCTCTAAACTTTCATCACACATTGGTTTGCGAAAATCAACGAGTGCGAGAGAGAATGGACAAAGAAGGGAATAGGGTATCGGCGCAACGGCAACAATGTAGTTGTTTACAAAGATTAGACTGTTGAGGTCAATTTCCAGTGGCGTGCCGATCGACCGACAGTATTTTAAGGAAATTAAAATGATTGTTTAATAAATTTAAAAAAATAATAATAACACTTACATATTTGTCGCATTGTAAAAAGTTGAGGGAGGATACTAATAGGAATAAAATAAGTTGAGGGAGAATAGCGAAATAAATATAAACCGGCATAATTTGTTATTATAAGATGGCTTTTCACATAAGGATAACGATTAAAAAAATCAATAAGCGTTTTTTACTTTATTTTATTAAATAAAATATCAAATTTTGGGTGTATTAGTAAATGCAGTTTCAATATCTTGTTCCAAACCTTGTTCATCTCCGGTGAATGAGACTCCCTCTATTAGCAATAACAAAATAAAATAGTTATTTTAACCTAGTAACACAATACTGTTACGTTTTTCGTCGGTTCCGTGTGGATAGAAAGTCACAATTTATTTAAACCCTATTTATTTACACTAATTAACAAAAACAATAACGATAAAAGACTTAAAGAACTATTTACAAACGATTTACAATTATTTATCTAGAAAGAATTTATTTTGAATTTTGCGCGTCAACTACACTCGTCTTATTTATATCTGCCCTCTTTAGGCCCCAGCCGCCGCCTTTTATACCCACAGCTAAAGATTTCTAGAATAGTCCATAGATCGTTAGGTGCATAGAGAAGGTTTCGATTGTTCTCGTATGTACTACTCCATTCCAGTGGAACTCGATTTTTCTCGAACGTCCGAATGAATCATTACGGTGTCTATTCTTTAATGCGATGTTAAGGTCATCTGAAGGCGGGACATATAGTTAGGTTAGGTTGAGTCCACACGGGTCCGCAACAGTATTTTACCAAAAACTAATATTTGTAGACTTCACATATTTTTGATAAAAACTTTATTATTATATGTATATTTATTATATACCTATATGAATTTTACAACTACTAAATGTGTGCCTAAAGGGATCGCACCGCGATTAAAAAACCGATACAATGACACAAAGTACCAGAGTGGTGCAACCCCAAAAACAAAATAGAAATAAATTAAATTATAAAAATAAACAGAATTAAAAAAAATAAAATTAGATAAAAAAAGTGAAAATATAATTTTATCAGGGATGAGCGGAGATAAGCAGAGAGGAGAATAACGAAACAGTGTAACCGGAACAGCAACCAATGACGGGCATATCAGAAGAACAAGAACCTCACAAATCAGTCGAAGAAATTATAATTTTTTAAATGATTTATTGTTATGAATTTAGTAAATGATTTAAATTTAATTTGTTTTTTATAATCTGTAAAGGATTGAAATTTAAAGTTATTAGAAATATTATTCCACAAATGTGGCGCTATGAAACTGAAAGATTTTTGGAAGTTAGCTGTTCGGTGTTGAGGAATTTTAAAATAATGTACTTGCCTAGTCGAATGATCATGGTCAACGTAGTGAAACAATGAGAACAAATAGGGAGTCTGCTCTGTAGTTAAAATTCGATAAATGAATGTCATTAAATGAAATTATTACAAATATAAACAAAATTATTTGATATTATAATACAGTCATCAGAACAGTCTAGCGATAATTTTAGAAAATCATAAATAAAATAAAATGGCGATTGTTTAGTAAACGGTTCTTCCCTTAGTCTTAAAAAATATTTAGTTTTTTTTCTCTGGTTTGCAAAGGAAAATTCATATTGTTTATAAATAATAAAAAGTGCACGTCAAAGAATTTCAATAGAATAAAATGTAAAAATACAACAAAAAATGTAGTAGTCATAAAATTCATGCAATAAGTACATTAATTATATGTATGTCAAAAGATGTCCATTTACATTATAGGAACCAAAATTTAAAACAAAAGCCGTATTAAATTGTAACGGCAACAAAAAAGTAAACCTTTCTTAAAAGGAAAACAGAAATTGTTATTAAGTTATTAGTAATTAGTACGTACCATGTACCTTTTTTCTACAAATAATTTAATTAATAAATATGTAGTTTAAATTTAAAAAAATATATAAAATATACAATTTAAAAAATAAACCTAAAAATAAATATAATTTAGAAATCTACTATTTTTTATGTCTAGGTTCGCCTCTGATCTACACAGAAGAGGATATAATAATATACTTAACCCTACTTATTTCTATTTACCGGTGAAAAGTTAAATTTGGATTTAAATGATACACTCTCTTGTACACAATACATGAATGCACCATATTTTCAAATTAATGTCCACAGAAGTCCACAAAATAACGCAAAAATACTATAATACTGCAAATAAAGAATACGGAGCTTGATCGGCGGCATAGCAACATCGCAACAGGAGAATCTAGGAATTTTCATTCATCCTCGAAATCCGTTGTACTACGCCGGCATATTTCTAAAACTCACGTTGCCAAACTGCTTTTTAGTATTAAAAGAAACGCGATCATGATATTTTTATTCCATTATAAAATTTAAAATAGTTAAGCAGTTAAGCATTAAATCAAAAAATTGCCGTTAGCAAATTAATGTACTTGATATATTATACAAATATAACGAAATTATTTATTACTTAATAATTGGTTGTGGTATATAATCGAATACTAATATCAATATACAGGTAAATCTGGCAAATGTTTTCGGTGTAAGAGAGATGCGAAAATAAGGATAGAATAATGGCCGATGAAGGAAAAAGGTAAACAATTGTATCTCTTGAGTTTAAATATCTTTGGTTTGTAGTCATTTCCGGTGAAACAAGAAGTGACGGAAAACAATTAAATACGTCAATCAATCCTAATTTACATATATCACTGTAATTAATATTTCCTTGCATCTCCCTGAAAAATGAGTACGGCTATGCGTATGAAAAAGAAGACAGTAATTGTTTATCAGGGAATGGTTTTTGTTGGATGACATAACTTGTTGTGATCGGTCGGCGGCGGCGTACGGACGAGCCTGTATTGAGAACATTATTTATTATTCTTATTCTAGTTTTTAGCAAATATATGTTACGGTTAAGGTCCGATGTCCGGTTAATGTCGACATTACCCGGTTAATCTCGAGAATAATACACAACAAAACCACCAAAAACATAACCTAACCCAAACATGAACATGTTAATATCGACATTAACTAGACATCGGACTTTAACCGTAACATATACATAGTTGATATAATATTTCGTTATAAACGTACTTTTATTTTGTTAATGTTTTGTCTACCTAATAAAGTTAATATACACTATTATTACGGTAGTTTACATCACATACATTCATATCAAATTTCGATTTTTATCTGAAAAAATAAAACATTATAGGGGTGAGCGACTTTTGAGAAACACCGGTATTACTACTTAATTTATTATTTTCTTGTGTTTAATAGATAAGCACGCCCACCCAGTACTTCTGGTACCGAACAACGCTGATGATATCCCCGGACATCGACACTCCGGAAGCCTTCAACTGGAAGATAGCACTTGCTCTGGTCGCAGCCTGGATCCTAGTCTACCTATGCATGATCAAGGGCATCGCGTCCTCTGGAAAAGTCGTCTACGTGACGGCCACCTTCCCCTACCTCGTCCTCATCATCTTCTTCTTCAGGGGCATCACGCTGAAAGGTGCCTTCGACGGGTTGAGGCATCTGTTCACCCCGTCGTGGCACACGATTTTGGATCCAGTGGTTTGGCTGGAAGCTGGGACACAGATATTTTTTTCGCTGGGTCTGGCTTTTGGAGGACTTATAGCTTTTTCGTCGTACAATCCAGTAGGTTTAGTTAGTGGGTAGTAGTGAGTAACGTTTGTGAAACATCGTTTAAATACTATTATGTTCATAAAACACGCTTTTGGATGTTTCAAATTTAATGAGATTACGTATAACTTTATCTCTCCATATGTTTTAACTTGTTAGACCCTTTTCAAGAGTTTTTTTAAATAATCGTCTGACTACATTGTAACGATATACAGAGTGGTCCGAACTGTATTCCGTAAACTTCAGCAGCATATTCTGCACATAAAAATAAGTAAAAAAGTTCGTATAAATGTATGTCCGAAAATGCTTAGTTTCGGAGGTACATGGTGTAGAAGTTTCATTTTTATTTCGATTTTTTCCAAATATGTTTTGAAGTAACGTCAATATTTGGATCAAAAGTGGTGTCTAGGAGTGTTTTGACATGAGAAATTTGATTGACCACCCTGTATATTTGCTTTGGTGGTGGGTTTAAGGAGTTTACAATAGAGGTAATAAAAAATGTGTTTAAAAATCCTTGTTAGTGGTTTACATTATTGTCGTTTTTAGTCTGCCCTTTGATTCTCTATGTAGTAATTTAATTGAATTTACATTAATTGTGTGACTATTTAATAAGGTCCGACCGAACCTGGATTTTTAGTCCCGGCTGAGACCGAAACAGAGACCGAGAGAAAAAGAAATTCTCGGCCGAGAACGAGACTGAGACCGAGTCGCGATGCAATATTTATTTAATAGTTTATTATATGAAAAAACATCTAATATGTAATAAAAAAGTTATTTTCATACAGAAACGGTTTTATTGGAATTTAATACTATAAAATTACTAATACTATTAAAATCTGTCGCACCGTTTAGATTTATTTAGTAATCGAAATAGTAGATTATTCATTTTTATAATTATGGTGCCGTGCATGAAATTTCCAAGTAATTATAGAAATATAAATGACTAATATTGATACTAATAATTTATAACAAAATTGTTGAATAGGTGCTTAAAGAGAGACTAAATAAAATAAACTGACTTGGTTTTACATGAGATCTCACAACTTTTCATAGCGAAGGAATTGTGTTACGATGTGTTGCAAGACTTGGCATTTTTTTACATTCTATGTTTTTGATGGGATTACTTTTTTAGTCTATGTTATAGGCTAAAAAATTAATTTTAAAGCATTGCGCCTTCCAAATTATGCAGTGTTTTATCATATTCTATCTAAATAGTTGTTTGCTAGAGACGCTTGTTGGTAGTGCAGACTAGAAATGTATTATAAGTTGCTGGTTTCACAACTCTGTTATGGGGGTGAATAATTACACACAAAAATTTTACTTATTAGGAGGATATACAAAAAAAAAATATTAAAGCACAATTCTGTTAAATGTATAAAACTTACATTAATAAGACACTAACATTTCGTTCGTTGTTTACGCATAGAAATACGAAGACTATTACTTTAGCCGTCCGGGAAACCCCATTCGTGATTCGATTAGATCATATATGGATCATATATTATAAAATATTCTTTTTTTTATATCGGACGAGTATTACGATAGGTGGAGCGATACGCCCAAAAATAAATTTGATGATCGTCTCGGCCGTTGTCGATAATCTCGGCCGTTTTATGCCGAGAACGAGACCGAGATCTCGGCCTGATTTTTAGCCGACACCGAGATCTCGATCGGACCTTACCATTTAATATAAAATATATTGCTAGATCGGAATTTTGTTGGATATTATTGACAGATTTTGTGTTCTTTAATACTTACATATATCTAAGTTTCTACATGTGTTTCTACCTGTTTAAATTTTTCTAGATTAACCAACAGAATTTCAACTACCAACAAAAATGTTTAAACACAATTGTTATTGTCTGTGCTGTAAACTTTTTAACCCCACCCCCATAGCGAATATATTTCTGTACACTGTAGTTAGACGGTTAGTTTTAAGAAAGTCTTGAAAAAGGCCTACCAAGCCGAAACATAGGTAAAATTACTCTCATTAAACTTGGAACATCAATACTAATATTATACAGTATGTATGTCCCCGGATAGCCTTTACAAGAGGAAAACCTTTTTTATTATTGAAATTTTGAGAAAAAATTATTCTTCATAAAAATGTTTGCTTGTACTAAAATGGTTAATCGCGTTTATAGTTTTCCAAATTTCCATACCGTTTCAGAGAAAATTAAAAAAAAAAAACATGAAAATGTGTTGTAGTTGAATGTAGTTGAAGTTCTAAAAACCAAAACGAGTTCCTATGGTGATATAATTTCTTTTTCATTCTTTGTTGACACAGTTTTTATCAACGTCATATTTTTTGTTGTTTTGAAAATCTTAAAGAAGCACAAAATTTATTTGGGTTGATTATAATTATCGGGAAATGTGATACTTTATCATCAAAAAATGTGACGTTAATCAAAATTCATTTTAATAGCACTCTCTCTATCAAAGAATGAAATCGAAATTATATTACCATATTTTCATGTTTTTTTTTAATTTGCTCTAAAACGGTATGGAAATTTGGAAACGTATAAACGGGGTTAACCATTTTAGAACAAGCAAAAAATTTTATGAAAAATATATTTTTCTCAGAATGTAAATAATAAAAAAATTCTTCCTCGTGTAGAGACAATATGGGGACATACTGTACATATAATATTGTTTATTAGGGTTGAATTAATCTATACTAATATCCTTCTAATATATAAAATCCTTAAGTGACTGACATACTGATTAATCACGATCCTGCTCAAACCACTCAACGTAAGAAGCTCAATTTTGGCATACAGGTTGATTCTAGGGTGTAGAGGTTCGATAAGAAGGGATTTTTCGAAATTCCAGTTTCAAGAGGGTGAAACTACCCCTCAAATATTACAATATTTTTTATTTAAAAAACAGTCAAGTTTCCGAAAAAAACGCTTAAACACGTATATTTTATTTTGTTTTTTTACATATTTTAAGATTTTTTATAAATGTATACAGGGTGTTTCGAAAAATCTGGTCATTAATTAATCACGATCCTGCTTAAAGCGCTTGCCGTAAAAAGCTGATTTTTGGAAAACAGATTGACTTTAGGGTGTAGAGGTTCGATAAGAAGGGATTTTTCGAAACTCAATTCTAAGGGGGTAAAACTATCCCTCAAATATTAAAATATTTTTTATTTAAAAAACGGTTAGTCTTTCGGGAAAAGCTTGGACAAGCATAATTTATTTGGTTTTTTTACATATTTTGAAATTTTTTAAAAAATCATAAAGGGTGTTCCGAAAAGTTGGGTAATTTCTTAACCACGATTCTGCTTAAACCGCTTGACGTAAAAAGTTGATTTTTGGGAAACAGATTGATTTTAGGGTGTAGAGGTTCGATGAGAAGGGATTTTTCGAAACTTGAATTCTAAGGGGGTAAAACTCTCCGTCAAATATTAAAATATTTTTTATTTAGAAAAAGGTGAGTTTTTCGGAAAAACTCTTAAACACGTATATTTTATTTTGTTGTTTTATATATTTTAAGATTTTTTATAAATTTATACAGGGTGTTTCATAAAATATGACCATTGAGTAATCACGCTTCTGCTTAAACTGCTTGACGTTTAAAGCTGATTTTTGGCAAAAGGATTGACTGTGGGGTGTAGAGGTTCGATAAGGAGGGGTTTCTCGAATCTCAAATTCTAAGAGGGTGAAAACGCCCCTCAAATATTACAATATTTGTTATTTCAAAAACGGTTAGTCTTTCGGGAAAAAGCTTGGACAAGCATAATTTATTTGTTTTTTTTACAAATTTTGAAATTTTTTAAAAAATCATAAAGGGTGTTCCAAAAAGTTGGGTAATTTCTTAACCACGAATCTGCTTAAACTGTTTGATGTAAAAAGCTTACATCATCTGGTACACGCTTCCAAAAAGGGTGTTCCAAAAAGTTGGGTAATTTCTTATTCTTAACCACGATTCTGCTTAAACTGCTTGACGTAAAAAGCTTATTTTTGGCAAACGGATTTTTCGAAAGTCAAATTCCAACGAGATGAAACTACCCCTCAAATATTACCAAGTTATATAATAATATCGCCATATTGTTTTTTCTCATGCTGACATAAATGTGAGAAAATTTTATCCAGTTTGTATGTTAATGGAAATTCTTGCTTTGCTTTATCATCACCATTACAAATGATTAATTCGACGCGAACGAAGTCGCTGGTACACGCTAGTAACTTATATTCCACCTATAATCTAAATTCTCTGCATTCAATGCTCAAAAACAAAAAATATGTATTTTGTTAGATAGTAATTGGAGAAAAACTCTTTTTTAGGTAAATAACAATTGTTACCGTGACGCAGTGATGGTCTCACTAACGAACTGTTTCACATCAATGTTCGCCGGTATAGTAGTATTCTCCATTATCGGTTTCAAAGCCACCATGATCTACGAAAAGTGCCTCGACACCAGAAATAATACCCTGATGGAGCTGGTTGGCCAGCCAGTGAGTTCAGAACTCGTGTTTCCAACCGAAGGCACTTTGTTCAACATAACCTACGATAACGGTACTGTTCGAAGATTGCTGATGCCTGCACTGCCAGTATGTGACTTAGAGGAAGAACTTGGAAAGGTAAATATCAATGTATTTAAAGACAACGGCAAATTATTAAAATAAAATATAGCCTTGGACTCATATTGGCTGTAATGTTGAAAATTTAACGTTTAGACTTGTCTCTATAGGCTTGGTGCATTTCAGTTGATTTCAACAAATTTCGACCGCAGCGCTTCAACGGAAAAAACTGAAATTATCAATATATAGTTCATGCCGCCGCGCCGCGCCGCGCCGTCATGTTCATCGCATTAAAATAATATTGAAATCGTGGTTGTGTCATAATATTTAAGTATTTTGTTTTTTTGCTAGTGCAGTTATTAAAACTATAAAACACTCAGGTACGAGGTTTGTGTGATGTAACGCTGTTACGGGTAGTAAAAAATAAGTGAAAAAGACTAGGCGTCGTATTGTGTTGTGACAATTTTTAATGTTAATAAAATTTCCGAAAAAATGTTGGCGCGTAAAGGAGAGCGTAATTAGGGCGTTGTTGGATGCAATAACATATAATAACTCAACTTTCCCGGATATTCAACTCTCCCGAAACAATATTTTATAGCTTCTTATAGCCTAAGAGCTGACGACATATTTAGAGAACATATTTTAGGCCAGCTAGAATAACTAAAAATGTATAGTTTATTAACTGGTGAACCCAGAATCCTAAGTCTGGCTGGAGAGTTGGGGGTATTTCGCTACTGCGCAATCCATAACATTTACAAAAAAAAATATTTTGCTATTATATTAGCACTGTACATGGTACCCTTTTGTCGGGACTACGTTTTCTGGTAAAACCACTTCTTTAAATTTTAAACCATGTTGTTGGCGCACTTTTAAAAATTCTTTGCATTTTTGTAGTCTGCCTTCATCAAAAACAATAACTTTGTCACTAGTAACATTTTTACAAACTACACAACTTAAATGTTTTTTATCCATTGTGATTTAGTAGTTAGTAGCGAAATTAGTAGTTACTAAAATATTTATTTGCAGTAATTATTCTAAACTATTTACACTATGCACGTCAATATTTAATTTATAAATACATATTTGTACATGGTAACTTAATTCCAACAAAATAATCTCTGAATTAAAAGTCTGCAAATAATTGAAATGAAACCGAAAAAAAATTGTTTTTATGAAAATTTGAAGTACATACTCCAAAATACTGTTACGTCAGCCGCATCGGCTGCCGACGGGTCTCAATAAACTATCTTTCTCGCGCTTATAGATACTCATAAAACTTTTTTGTCGCGCTCATTTAAAATCTTTATTCGCTTCTAGCAAGTATTAATTCCCATTGAATTTGTATGGCAATTAACACATATTTTTTAATATCATCTAATAAACACGCTGTAAAAATTTTAGAATGCCTAAAGTATGTTTTCCAGGTATAATGATTAAACATATTTGGAATGGTCTGGTTACACTTTAAACCCGAAAAAAAAGTCTGGCACACTTACTTCTAGGTTAAATAGATGCTAAAATTTAAGAATAAACAAATTTCAAGTTGCCTAAAGTATGTTTTTTTGATTTATTTTTTTGCAAATGTCCCCCCAGCCAGACTTAGGATTCTGGGTTCACAAGTTATTAAACTTTTTTTTTTTGTTATTCTAACTTGCCTAAAATATGTTCTCTAAATATGTCGCCAGCTATTAGTTTCTCACACCGATTTGATCAATAGCAAAAATGGATTCAAGCAGTTCGACGAAACAAGTGAGTAAACGAAGTGGATACTCGTTACATAATCAAAAAATTAAATAGACATATACTATGAGAGGATGAAATATAATTTGTGCAATATTAATGGTATACTTTTTTAATCAACTAGCGATTAAATGTTTTATGAACATCTAAAATTATAATTATGTACCTTTAAAAAAATCGTTATAGCCGAAATAGCTCCAATTATGCCCCACTAGCAAAACCGGTGATAAAACTATGCGCGCTAGCGTAGTTGAACTCATTTAAAATATTTTTTTAACTGGAATAATAAATTATAATGCAAGTTAGACCTTCTGAAGATATCAAAATATTTACCTTTATATTTTTTTGTTTAGAATTTCCACAAATTATACTTTCTAGCACTTTTAGAATAATTATATACTAATTTTTTTGTTTACTCGCCATTTAAACCCATGTATTTGTATGTATTCGTTATTTACGATATTCTCCGGCGGTGGCAGCACCGGCGGAGAATGCAGCAAGCCTATAAGTGTGTTGATGAGGACCCAAAAGCAAAGGCATGCTTTCGATGCTAGCATTTGGGTAAGTCGTTACTGTCTTATTCAAAAGCGAATCTCTCCAATAAAAATAAAGCTATTGAGATGAATCAAAAAACAAACTATCGTGAAAAGACGTACCTACATGATGAAATATTTTTTAAATTCCTTTCTTTGTTAATAATATTCCACAGAATGTTTAAAGCTTTCACCAAAATATCAACGTTTTGTTTTCTCTCGTATAATTATTGACAGATGCGAGCTTTCATTTTTAATTTAGAAAGAGATACTAAAAAGGCAAATAAGCTCAGTAGTTTTAAGATTAAGAAATTAGTTCACTCTTGATGATTGGTATCTCGGAAACCGTAAGAGATACAAAGCTGGTCAAATTGGGGCAAAGTTGCGCTTTAGGATGTTCACCAAGATGCCATCAAAAAAGTTTTAAAAATTACAAGGATTGCTGAGTTTTTTGGAAAAAAGGGATTTTTTGAAAATCAATTTTATTTTTTCCTGTCGTTACTTTTTAGAAAATGAAAAAACTGTTTTTACATTCTCATAGTCACTTTCTTAGGGCTCTCTGATAGTATTTTTAGATTTTCAAATTAGCTGATAGTTTGTGAGATACCTACAGAGGCCAATTTAATTTTTTTAAATACGGATCTGCATTTTTTATTTCAGATTTTGAAAGAACTCGGTCTCCTGAGTACAATGATATGCCACATCTAATATTTTTTTTTTGTTTCGGACATTTGAACACAATTTAATTAAACTAATTTCAAGTCCGGCTCTGTTTTTTTAAATATTTAATCTATTCATCGTTACAATATTGATAAGCTTTCGAATTTAACAATGACGTGGGGTAAAACATTGAATACGGAAAATCAAATGCAATAAAGTAATATAAAATTATTGGGTATTACTTGACGTCATTTTTAAAAGTGAAATCAATACATTTCAACATTTACAATAAAGAGTACATAATGCATTCGGAAGTATAGGAAGAAAGTATGTTCAAAAAGATATAAAGAAAATTGAACGAAAAATACATTTGTGCATTAGGGACGATAGTAACTAACCCATTCGAATATGTAGAATTATTAGAAACTAGTTTGTAGAAGTTGATTTATTTATAATAACTACGATTAATATTATGCATATTATTAGATCGTACACTGAGATTTCATATTCACAATAAAAAAAATTAAAAATAATATCTTTAAATTGCTGACCTGGATATTATTTATTTGAATCTTTCAATTGGCTCAATTTTCCTCATTCAATGTTATATAGCGCTGATCCATATTGTTGCGATGAATATAATCAGATTAAACAATTTAAAAAATCAGAGTCGGACTTGGAATAAATAAAATGTTGAGTAAATTTTCAATATTAAAGACAATATCAGTCCAAGAAGATGTTCTATTTCTTAATAACACTTGTTTTAATACGAATTTTTGATTTATAGTCTGCCTCAGGGACCGGATTAGCCTTTATCATTTTTACCGAAGCAATAAACCAATTTCCCGGCGCTCAGTTCTGGTCAGTACTGTTTTTTCTGATGCTGTTCACCTTGGGCATTGATTCACAGTTTGGAACACTAGAAGGAGTGGTCACGTCCATCGTGGATATGAAGCTGTTTCCCAATTTACCCAAAGAAATACTGACCGGAGTGTTGTGTCTGATTTGCTGCCTGATATCGATGAGTTTTGCTCACGGAGCTGGTAGCTACGTGTTCGTACTCTTTGATAATTTTAGTGGAAATTTTCCACTACTGATTATCGCGTTCTTTGAATGTGTGGGAGTTTCCTACGTGTATGGTCTTAAAAGGTAAATATAATATTGATATTATTTGTTCTCTAAATGTGAAAGACATTGATTAAGAATAAAATAAGAAAATAAAATAACAAATGAATTTAATCAAAAATGTATTAGTGTCACCAGAGAAGAGGAAGATTATTTTTATCATGACGAGGAAATAGAAAATACTGTAAACATATTTTTTATAGTAATATCACAGATTATACAGATTATAAACTTTGTTTTTTCTTTATTGTTTTTCGTGGTTCCAATTTTCGGAATCGGGCACTAGTTAGGTTACTAGTTTGCGCACACAGTAGTCGATACAGAGGGGGGCCCCCCTAAAATCTGTAAATTGGGTTAAATATTAGGCTTTTGGGTTAAAAATGGCGCCCTAAAAGGCATATTTGGCATTATTTTTTATTTGCCCCCCCCCCTAAAATAAATTTCTGTATCCGCCACTGTGCGCACATAGCACGCCCACTTATGGCCTCTAAAATTGTGCACAGCGCCTGACCGGCACAGTTATTAGAGAGGTATCGGAAAACCGAATAGTGTCGTGCAATATTTACGCGTTACGTAATTGACAGAAAAAGTGTGAATTTGCAGAAAATCTGTAAATTTACAGAAAAAGTGTAAATTTGCAGAAAAAGTGTAAATTTACAGAAAATCTGTAAATTTACAGAAAAAGTGTAATTTTACAGAAAAAGTGTAAATTTACTGAAAAAGTGTAAATTTACAGAATAAGTGTAAATTTACAGAAAAAGTGTAAATTTACAGAAAATCTGTAAATTTACAGAAAAAGTGTAAATTTACCGAAAAACTGCTACTGGCTGTATCCGCCACTGTGCGCACATAGCACGCCCACTTATGGCCTCTAAAATTGTGCACAGCGCCTGACCGGCACAGTTATTAGAGAGGTATCGGAAAACCGAATAGTGTCGTGCAATATTTACGCGTACCTTATTTTGACAGTTAGAAAGATATCGGTAAACCGAATAGCGTCATGCAGTATTTACGCGTACCTTCTTTTGACAGTTACGATATGCGCGAGTCAATTTTCATCAAAACAAAATGTTCAATCAAACCAAACGCCTGCTAATAACGTTACCGCCTGACGTAATTTGCGGATCAATTACACCAAGCGCTATTTCTAAATAACGTTTAAAAATTGCTTAAATGGGCATGTGCGGATATTTGACAACCGGGGCCGGCCGGCGAGATCTTGTATTTTAGGTTGATGTTTGAATTGTTTTGAATTATTACTTCAGTTTTATTAGGTCATTTGATATTTAAGTAGCTGGGATTAGTTTTAATTAAATAAATATGGCGCAAAATATGGATTCCACCTCTTCCAATATTATACTATAATAAGGCTTAGGTTTACAGCAGATGACGACTTAGCCCTTCTAAGAGAATTTGTTGCCCTAACCCACTGGCAGACGTTGAACAATAAAGCACTGGAAATAAGCACTTTAGCCCTTTAGTTTTAAAATACCTAGTAAACAAAACAATTTCAAAGTTTTAAATTCAAAGTTAGATTAAGTTTAAATATCGGACGCGACGCGAACAGAATTCTTTCCGATCCGATAACTATAAATGAAGAGAGTTAATACCACCTCACGTAAAGAAAATAACACCTGGCGTTATTAACGTCCATGCACGCAATTCGGTTTACCGATATCTCTCTATTACGCTGTTTATTGTTATTTTACGCGAGTTTATTTTTGCGCACAGGAAATTTTACTCGTTTGCTCATCGTCATAACAAACAATTCTAGTACCACGAATTACCACATATAGTGTACCTAATCTGTGGTAATATTATTGTTTAGGTGTAAAAACCTATTTTTTACGTGTGAAAAACTGTTTGTTGTGTGTAAAAAACTATATTTTTCCTTGTGAAGGACTAATTTTTACGCGTAGAAAACTATTTTTTTACGTGTAAACTATTTTTTACGCCCAAAGAACTATCTATTACGTGTAAAAAACTGTTTCTTAGGTAATAACTATTTTTAGGCCTAAAGAACTATTAATTATGGGTAAAAAAACTATTTTTACGCCAAAACAACTTTTTTTAACATGTAAAAGAACTATTTTTAAGCTGTAAAAATTATTTACACACGTAAAAAGCTAATTTTTACGCATAAAAAAACTATTTCTTAACGTGTAAACTATTTTTAGGTGAAAAAAAAACTAATGTTATATCCAAAAAACTTTTTTTACGCTAAAAGAACTATCTTTTGTAAGAGCGAGAAAAATATAATATATTTTTTTTGTTTATATAGCTGTGGTGTCTTGGACTACGTGATTCCAACTTTACTGAGGCTGAGTAAAACACAGTTTGAAATTTGATACTTTTATTTCAACGCTCAGAGAAAGAATGAATTTACAATGTCGTACCATCAGTACCTTATGCCTGCGCATACATCTACCAGAAACGGATGGTGTACTATATATTATTTTACATATGGTAAAGGCGGAATATTTAAATATTATTTTTATAACAATACTACAATACCCTCCTCTTAAAAATTTTTTTTTTTACAAAAAAAATATATCTACGCTCTTTTAATCAATTTGTATTTAAACTTAAGCAATAACTGTTTAAACTTAGTGGCGTTTGAATCAAGTATTATACAACTAACAACTTAATATCTATATAACCTAATCCAATAAACAATAATAACTCCTTTGGCATTAAAAAAATTAACTACATTTAAACCAAATTTTAACATTTCCTAAAATTACAAATGCTCTAACTATTCTGCTCAGATCCAGATCTAATAACAGGTTTTATAATCCTTCTTGGTCTTTTTTATTTTCGGTAAAAAACAATTTCATTTTTCTTTAAATTATTACTGTCATTATTAATTGATGAACACTCTGGTTGTTCCTCACTTAACTTGTTTTCTAATTCTACCCTATTATTATTAACACCATTATCTATATTTACACTTTGTACATTAAATTTTGGACTAATTTCTAAATTAGGCTGATTGGTACAAACACTAGAATTTATTTGAGTTGGAATTTTAGATTCATTAAAATGTAGAGTATATTTTTTTAATTGATTAGTGTGCCTCTTCCAAAGATTTTCCAATTCTGGTATTTTTACCAAATAAGTCCTAATTCCCAATTTTTTTGTTATAACTCCTTTAATAAAAGTTGGTTTGTCGACATATTTATAATTCTTGACTAACACAGTTTCATTTACATCAAAATTTACTTCTTTATTTGGCTTACTATTTTTTATTTGATTACTTTGAGCATGTTCTACCCTTTTACTTAATACATTTCTATCTATGTTCTCTTTAAAAACCAATGTATTATCAGTGGGTAAAAGAGTAGATAACCTCGTCCTTAAATTTCTACCTAACATTAAAGACGCAGGACTCACCCCAGTTGTACAATGTGGAGTGACCCTATAATCTAAGAGAAACCTGCATAACACTACATTAGTATTTTCCGAGTTTGAGACTAAAGCCTTTTTAAGAGCTGACTTTACAGTTTTAACAGCATTCTCTGCTGCTCCATTAGATGCTGGGGAGTAAGGGGGACTCGTTACATGTTTGATGTTATTTTTTGCCAAAAAGTTTTCGAATTCATCTGATACTAGCTGTCTGCCATTGTCTGAAACTAAAGTAATTGGCAAACCAAAAGTAGCAAAAACTCTTCTAAGAGCTTGTATAGTTAATGTAGAAGTAATACTAGACATTTCGAAAACTTCCAGCCATTTTGAATAAGCGTCAAGTATTACAAGATAATTTTTTCTTCTAAAATCAAAAAAATCTATATGAATGCGCTCCCAAGGTGCTTTTGGCCAAGGCCATGGAGATATTTGCGACTTTGGAGCATTATTTGAATGCAAAACACATGCGTCACATTTTTTTGTTAAATTTTCAATTTCAACATCTAAATTTGGAAACCAAACATACCCTCTAGCTAAACTTTTCATCTTAACAGCTCCCATATGTGATTTATGTAACTCTTGTAATACTTGCTGCCGCATAGAACTTGGAATAACAATTCTATGATTCCATATTATACAATTCTGAATTACATCAAATTCAAATCTTTTAGCAAAATATGCCTTTAACGAAATATCATTCACTTTTTTAGGCCATCCTTTTTTAATAAAATAAATGACTTTTTTAAGAATTTTGTCAGAGGCTGTTTCCTTTTGTAAAATTTCAAAATTTAAATAAAAATCTGTATTTTTTGATAAAAAATAACAGTAGTCTATATCAATATTGTCATCATTAAATAAATCACTATCTTTACTTGATGGCATACGGGATAACCAGTCTGCATTATTTTTGTTGCTTTTTACGTATGCAATTTCATAATTGTACCCTGATAATATTACTGCCCACCGCCTTAGCCTATTTGCCGTAAATTGCGGTATGCTCTTGTGCTCACCAAAAATTGTTAATAAAGGCTTGTGATCTGTTACAAGTTTAAATTTCTTCAAATATAAATACTGATTAAACTTTAAGACGCCAAAAATTATTGCTAGTCCTTCCTTTTCAATCTGTGAGTACCTTTTTTCGGTCTCCGATAACGACCTTGAAGAAAAAGCTACGGGTTTTTCGTCACCGGAAGGCAAAATATGACTTAATACAGCCCCTATGCCCACGGGTGAAGCATCAACCGATAGCCTTAGCTCCAATTCAGGATTGAAGTGGACTAAAACTTCAGCAGATTTCAGAAGCTCTTTATTTTTTTAAAGTTTGCTCTTTTCTCAAAGACCATTCCCATTTAACATTTTGTTTGAGAAGATTGTAAAGGAATGTAGCAATGTGGACATATTTTTTATAAATCGACCATAATAGTTTATAGTACCTAGAAACGACTGTAACTTCTTAACATTTTTTGGTGGCATAGCATTATCGATAGCTGATATTTTTTCTTTTGAAGGGTGTAAACCCTCTTCGTCTATAATAAACCCTAAATATTCAATGCTTTTTTGAAAAAAATTACACTTTTCAAAATTAACCTTTAACCCTGCATTTTGCAAAACTTTAACAACATTTCTTAAATTTTCTAAATTACTTTTTTTTATCAACCCCAGTGACCAAAATATCATCTTGAAAAATAACCACCCCTGACAATGCACTTAATAGAGAATCCATTATTTTTTGGAATTTAGCTGATGCACATGATATGCCAAACGTTAAACGATTAAATCTAAAGAGGCCTAAATGTGTAGATATTGTTAATAACTCCTTACTTTCATCATCAATGGCTCTCTACTGAAAGGCTTGTGACAAATCAAGTTTCGAGAACTCCTTTCCTCCCTGAAGCTTGCTAAAAAGATCCTCAATTCTCGGTAGTGGGTGCTGGTCCACTTCTATTATACGGTTCACTGTTACTTTGAAGTCTCCACATATTCTTATGTCTCCATTTTTCTTAAAAACAGGCACAATTGGGGTTGCCCATGCGCTGTACTCCACTGGGGATAATATACCTAAAAATACCAATCGTTCAATTTCTTTTTCTACATTATTTTTAATAGCAAATGGGACTGGGCGAGCCTTTAAGAATTTTGGTTTAATTTCAGTATTTTTTAAATAAATTTTCTCTTTGGCCTTGTTAAAACAGCCCAATCCAGGAGAAAAAACATCAGGAAATTCATCATGCAAATGCTGAGTAGCATTATTTATGTTAAAGACATTCAAACTAAAATTGTATAAATTTAAAAAATCACGCCCTAATATCGGAGGTCCTCCATTTTTCATAATGTAAAAAAGTTAAATTTTCTTTTTTTCCTTTGTAACTTATTTCTAAATAAAGTTCACCCAATGGCTTCACTTGTTGCCCATTATAAAAAATAAATGTTTTGTTTGATCCTTGAAGAGGATAAATTTTAAAATTATTTAAATAAAATTCCTCAGAAAAACATGAAATTCCGCTGCCTGTATCTATTTGACATTGAACGTTTTTATTTTCAAGTAAAATATTAATTTTAAATGGTTCTGATCTAAAAATATCTTGCTGTCTTAATGTAAACAAACAAATATCATCATTGTTTTGATTATTTACCGAGGATTTTTCTTCAATAAAATTATGATACCTATTACTAAATTTTTGCCTGCATACTGCGGCTAAATGACCTTTCTTTTTACATTTGGAACAATTTAAAGATTTATAAAAACACTTATCTTTTTGGTGATTGCCTTTTCCGCAGACGTCACATTTTATGGCTGTCATCATGGCTGCCTCCCTGCTGTGACTTTGACGTTTCTGTTGGTGGGGGTTCCACTGCTGTCTTGTGGTTCCAAAGTTGCCTCCTACATCCGGGTTGCGCGCGCCTCTTGCACCTGCGTCGCCTTTCTTGTTGCGTGTAGAAATTCACGGGCTCCTGTTTTATCATCGATTCTTGCACCTCTCTGGCCGCCATCTTTGCTGATGCAATTTTCACTATCCCTTCAAAAGGCGTAGCGATATTTTCCTCCATTAGACGGTCCAAAATTGGTCCCTTTTCGAACCCAAATATGAATCGATCTCTTAGGCAAACTCCCAGCTCGGCTCCGAACTCGCATCCTACAGCCAGACTTCGCAATCTGCCTGCCCACTGAGTTGCCGTCTCTCCATATTCCTTCCTTGCTGCATAAAATTTGTATCTTAAAGCGAATGCGGACTGCTGCGGTTTAAAATATTCGTCGAACACCTTGATCAACTGGCCAAATGTCCTTTGTTCCGGTTTCTCAGGACTTACCAAATCGAATATTAATTTGTATGCCTCTTCATCACATGTATTTAATAATATCGCCTTCATTCTGTCTTCATCTTTCTCTTCTTTTATTCCGTTTGCAGCGAAATAGTTTAACAAACGGGCCTTGAAGATAGACCAATTACTACTTATCGGTGAAAATTCCCTGAGATGCCCGATTTCCGCCATTTTACTGTTCACTTCTTAACGCGCGGATCTATATTCGTATTCAACACAGAATAGAATAGTTTTTAATCCTCGTCGCCAATTGTGGTGTCTTGGACCACGTGATTCCAACTTTACTGAGGCTGAGTAAAACACAGTTTGAAATTTGATACTTTTATTTCAACGCTCAGAGAAAGAATGAATTTACAATGTCGTACCATCAGTACCTTATGCCTGCGCATACATCTACCAGAAACGGATGGTGTACTATATATTATTTTACATATCGTAAAGGCGGAATATTTAAATATTATTTTTATAACAATACTACAATAGCATAATATATGAATGGTGTTAATATCAATTTAATATTCAAACAACATAAACAAAAGAAGCTAAACTCACCTTAGATGCCGGGACACTTGTGTAATGCTCTCACTCTATGATCACGCAATTTGCAATCTATAAAAATAAAATATACTTGAGCATCACTGGAAAACGCACATGATCACATCACCATAATCGAGTATATAAAATAGTTAAATATTTTAATATTGTTCCGTAGCTAAGCGTCAAGGCGTCTGTCCCACGCACAAAAGGGATGGCCACAAAGCGACATAGCTTATTATTGTTGTTCCGCAGCTAAGCGACAAGGCGTCTTTCCCACGCTCAAAACATAGCTTATTATTGTTGTTAAACAATTTGAGTCATACGTAAAAATATAAAACACTCCAAAATAATAATACTAAATACCATTTGATAATTTGCGAGGTATTATAAATCACACCCAATAAATATTACTAAAACACTCTTTGATAAATAGCTGTCCATTACGTATCTATAATAAATAACGCTAAAACACTCTTTGATAAACATCTATCTTTTAACTAAACTATATTAAAATGCCCTTTGATAAATACTTGTCTACTATAAAACACACACACACACAAAAGTAATACTAAAATACCCTTCTCTATCTACTACTAAAGCTCAACAACTGTTAACTAAATAATATTAAACTACTCTCATACAAATCCCAGTAATGCCCGTGAGTGAACAAAATACACTCACCTGTATAATACTTCATTCCTTCTATTCAGTCCCAGAAATATTTTCCACACAATTATAATCTGAATTTAATATTTTTTGATAAATGGCGACGTCAGTCAAAATAATCATCAACAATGCAAACCGCATCGTCTAGGAAACGACATTGTATACATGCGGTCAAGAAAAGTCAATTAGAGATTCAAATAAAATATTATTTCTTAAAATAACACAATTTAATATAAACAATTTTTTAACGGAAAACAAGACTCTTACACTTTAAGAGTCTATTACGCTGTAATTTCGGGTCGCTCTCAGGGCTCGGGTGAAGCGGCTGTGTGGCCGAAGGAAATATATATTATGTTTCAGAAATCTGCCTAAGGCTTAGCCCGATCCTGTCGTATTAAGCCACACCCAAAATTCCAAACACACGTGCTTTGATTAGGATTTGCAGAGCTTCAGTATTTGCCATAAAATAGCGAGCAATTTCTTACAAAACCATATAAAATATATATCACTGTAATTACAAAACTTCAATCTACTTCCGTATTGTATCGGAATTTTAAATTATGTCTTTGTTTTCGAGAAAATTTAGTCCAAACGTAAGGAATATTTTGTTGATGTTTGACCATCAAAATCTTAAAAATAAAGAAGTTGTCCCAAAATGTGCTACAATAAGGATATAGTATAATCCTTTATCTTTAATTTCCTTCTTCATTTGTGTAAAAATACCTAGCCAGTTTTACATAAAACGTTAAATGCCGAACGCTTATTTTGCTACTTTTTCGGACTAGTGAAATGTACGAAAGCGTAGAGCTGCCATCGCAACATTGAAAAATAATTTTAGCAAAATTTACACTTTTTCTGTAAATTTACACATTTTCTGTAAATTTACAAATTTTCTGTAAATTTACGCTTTTTTCGCACAACCAAACCAAACCAAACCAAATTTACATTTTCTCTGTAAATTGCATACGAAATTTACTACCCAGCAGGACGACGTCTCGGCATCAACCTGTTCGTTATTCAGTAGTTACAAGTGAGCCTTGTTTTCCGCTGGTTAAGTTGCCATTGTGCAACTTAACCAGAGATTATGGACGAATACATTAAAACCTACTTTCAAATCAGTCGCGTCGGCTACCGACAGGTCTGAGTAAACTATCTTTCTCGCGCTTATAGATACTTATAAGACTTTTTGTCGTGCTCATTTAAAATCCTTATTCGCGTCTGGCAAGTATTAAGAACCGTTGAATTCGTCTGGCGATTAACACATATTTTTTAATATTATCTAATAAACACGCTCTAAAAATTTTAAATTGCCTAAAGCATATTTTCCAGGTATAATTATTAAATATGTTTAGAATGGTCTGGCATACTTATTTCTGGGTTAAATAGATGCTAAAATTTAAGAATAAACAAATTTCAAGTTGCCTAAAGTATGTTTTTTGGATTGTTTTTTAAATGTCATTGGTTGCGCAGCGCAGTAGCGAAATAACTACTCGTAGAATAACGCACCACTGTTGCCACTAACGCAGAAATTGACAGAAAAAGTGTGAATTTGCAGAAAATCTGTAAATTTACAGAAAAAGTGTAAATTTACAAAAAAAGTGTAAATTTACAGAAAATCTGTAAATTTACAGAAAAAGTGTAATTTTACAGAAAAAGTGTAAATTTACTGAAAAAGTGTAAATTTACAGAATAAGTGTAAATTTACAGAAAAAGTGTAAATTTACAGAAAATCTGTAAGTTTACAGAAAAAGAGTAAATTTACCGAAAAAGTGTAAATTTACAGAAAATATGTAAGTTTACAGAAAAAGTGTAAATTTAGCAGAAAAAGTGTAAATTTACAGAAAAAATGTAAATTTTGGTAAAAATATTTTTCAATCATGCGATGGCAGCTCTACGCTTTCGTAGAAATGGACTCTTAATGTGTTAAGAACTATTTCTACGGCCAAAGAACTATATATTACATGTAAAAAACTATTTTTTAGGCCCAAAGAACTATTTTTAACGTATAAAAAAATATTTTTTACGCTTTTATTACGAAAGGCTATTTTTTACCTGTAAACTATTTTTTAGGCGTAAAGACTATTTTTTAAGCGTAAAACCTATTTTTTAAAATAATGGATAATAAATAGTAATATTACTATAAACAATCAACGTCAATTTTTACCATACATCAGCGCCATGGGTATCTCACACTATCATTAGCTCCCCATACACCAGAAGATTTGGGGACTTTAGAGGGGCGATTTAGTCTGCAGACTTAGCGGATAAAAACTTTGTGTTTGTGTGGCGGCCCAAGTCTGTGGCAGGCCAAGTCTTTGACGGACCAAGCCTTCCACAGGCCAAATCCGAAGACTTGATTTGTCAGATTAGATTGGTCTAAAAGTCGGACGAAGGATAAAGTTGGCGGACTTCTAACGCTTTTTTTCTAAGCGGCGGTTTTTTCCGATAAACATTTATATCTATACAAAAACTGCTATAAGACCTAGAATTTGTCTCAAACAAGAATATTTAAAGGGGCTTATATCTAATCGGCATGCGGCAGACCAAGTTCGCAGAAAATAGAAAACACGAAAAGAAGCTTTTTCGAGACTTTTCTTCGTGCTGTTTAGTAATTTAATTTTTTTATAGGTTCGCAGATGACATAGAAATGATGACAGGGTCCAGACCAGGTCTGTACTGGCTCATTTGCTGGAAGTACTTGTCGCCGCTAGCAATGCTGTCCATTTTGGTGGCTAGTTTCGTGGAGATTGCAGTGGACGGGTCTGGATACTCTGCTTGGGTTGCTGAAAAAGGGGAAACAGTGAAACATCCGTGGCCGATATGGGCCATTTTGCTCATTTGCACGCTGGTATTGGTATGCGTGATGTGGATTCCTGGAGCTGCAATTGGCAGGTACAGTGATAAATATTACCAACTATAACATAAGCTTTAACTTGTATTTATTATATTATATATATTATATTTCTAAAGTAAAAATATTTTAAAAAAATATATAATTATCTTACAAATGTATGTATTTTAATTTGAATTCTAACGGTTATAACGTTGTATCAGAAGAATATAAATCTTAATATTATTGGCAAAAATATAAAACTTATAAAACGCTAAAGATGGCGAATAAAAAGTATTGAATACCAATAAATTATATTATTTTATATTTAATAATTCTTTCTCAAAATTAAAAGCTAACATAACTAAGTTCTTCTAGCTAGTGGAGTGCCCTGAGACTTATACCTCGGAATTCAGTTACTGTGAATGTATTAATGTGAAACCATCTGTATTGTGTTTTATAGATAAAATACTAAAATGTTTACCCATTTTTTTCGTTGCTTTTAATTTTTTATTTTAGTAAATTCTTAATTATTTCCTTCTTAATTTTTTGATTTTTTAACTTCCTTTTCTAAGTAAATTTATTGAAATAAATGAATCTAATGCATAAGCTATACCTATTCTGCTTATTAAATTTTGATTGAAATCGAATTATACAGGGTGGCGCGTCATATACGACGCGGTTTTTGCTAGGAGAAAAAAAGTTTGTATTGAAGTGAAATTTTGTGAGCTTATGTAAGTCAATTTAAAGCATTGTCTAAAATTATGTAGATTTCTACAGGGTGTCCCCAAAAAAAGTTACACATCAAAGTTATGTTTTTTGTAATGGCACATCCTATATATTAATTAATTTTTGGATTCTAGTAAAAAAATAAAGGTTTGTTTCATTAGAAAAGTATATCACTAAAATGTAAAGTTTTTGAAATATATTCACCGGCACGAAAAATGGGCACCTTAAAACTTTGATGTATTTTAAAGGTTTATACATTTTGTAATTGGCTGATTTTTATGATTTTTTAAGCCAAATTATTTGACTTTTTAGTATCTTCTTCTAAATTAAAAATGAAACTCCCCATCTCTTAATTATACGGGGGAAAACAAAATGTTGATATTTTGGTGAAAGTTTGAAACATCCTGTGGAATATGTTAAAACAGCAAATTACAGTTGAGGGTTGGAACCTTTGGTGTTACACAGCAAAATAAAATTACACTAAATCACCACAATACACCAAAACACTTTTACTTTTACACTGGACGCGCGTTTCGCTAACCATGTTAGCATCATCAGCAGATGATTATAAACTAAAGTACAATCTACAAGTTGAGCGTTTATATACTCGCCCAGTAGGTACCGAGTGGACGTGGCAATATCTAGCCAACCGAGTCAGAGCCCACTGAGCGTAACAGTTAATTTCCGCCACTAGAGTAGTAGAAACAAAGAACTTGAAGGAATTGGACCGTTGACTCTGTTCATACTATCTTTACATTTATTAATTCTGATGCTTTCATATGCATCTAATTGCCTGTAATTTGCGACTTGTTTAATTAATTTTAAATTATTAAGATCTATACAATGTTCTTTATCAACAATATGTTCGGCAACGCAAGATTTATCTGGTCTACCATGTTATCTGAGCTAAATATTCTTTAAATCTAGTTAATATTGATCTTCTAGTTTGCGCAACATATTTCTGATTACAATCTTTACAAGAAATTTCATAAATACCTGACCTTTCCAGTGGATGTGTTTTATCCTTTGGATTACCTAATAATTGTTGTAATTTATTATTAGCACTATACACAAGTTTATAATGGACATTCTTAAAAATTCCTTTTAGACCACGGGATAACTCTCTATCAAACGGTATTGAAAAATATTTAGACGTATCTTTCTCCACTTGAAAAGTCGAATTTTCAGAAATCATTAACCTATACCTACGTTTTCTAATTAATTTATCAACTAGTAAAGGAGAATATCCATTACACTCAGCTACATTCCTAATGTAATCTCTTTCTATTTCATATCTTTCGTTGGAAAGTGGGAAACTAAGTAACCTATGAACTAAGAAATTTAAACTAGCCATTTTATGTTCAACACTATGATGTGATTCATTAGGAATATATCTGCGTGTGGTCGTATTTTTCCTATAGATATCAAATGCCAGGCAATTATTAGTATTTCTAATAACTAATACATCTAGAAATGGTAATCTGTCGTTGTTCTCAATTTCATGCGTAAATTTAATGGAAGGAAAACGATTATTTAACTTAGAAATAAAATTATCTATAGTGTCTGAATGTGTGTCAAAAACAGCAAAAATATCATCCACATACCTAAACCATACTCTTGGAAAATACCCAAACTGATTCTTAGCCTCCACTTCAAACCTGCTCATGAATAAATTAGCCAAAAATGGAGACAATGGATTACCCATTTCTGTACCTTCCCGCTGTTCAAAAAAGTTGTTATTAAATTGAAAACAATTTTGTTTCATACATAACGATGTAAGCTCAATATATTCACTCACAGTTTTGTTGTCGAGACCATTTGCGTTCAGTAATTCCTTTAAGTAGCCTAAAATATGTGGAATTGGAACACTTGGGAACAACGAAGATACATCAAAGTAGACCAAAATTTCACCTTCATGCAATGTTATATCTTTAATTTTGTTAATGAATTCAATATTATTTTTAACTGAGAAAGAAGGTTCATGATCAGGTAAATTTTCGAACTCCCTTGATAATCATTTTGCCAAATTATAAGTCGGAGAACCTACAGCCGAACAATTGGGCGCATAGACTTGTCCGGTTTATGAATTTTTGGCAAAGCATACAATTTTGGTAATGAGGGATTGGATACTTGCAATTTCCTCTTTAAAGAAAGATCAATAAGGGTGTTACATTCTTTTAGAGTTTTTTTAACGTCTGCTACCATCTTAGACAAAGGATTCTTTTTCAAATTTATGTAGGGGCCATTATCGATTAAGTTGTTAACCTTATCGTAATAGTCTTTTTTATCTAATATAACAACCTTATTTCCCTTATCAGCTTTTAGGTAGAAACAATCTTTGTTACGCAAACTCTTGACAATATTGTGCTCCTTGTTAGATTTTAATGATTTACTTGAAACGATATTTTTTGATAACTGATTTCTACAAGCCTCTCTTGCAAATACTTTAGAAGCCTCGGGCAAGTGCTGAATAGCAGTTTCAACACCAACGACGATTTCCTCCAAAGCGCTACCAGAGTTGGGCAATGCAAACTTTAAACCTTTGTTTAATAAACTGAGCTCTTGTTTATCAAAAGTCTGCGAAGAAAGATTCTCCACTATGTTTATGTCTCTTTGGAAAACATGTTTGTTTTTAGAGCTTTTTAATTTTTTAAACTTATTATTCAAAACAAGACATTTTCTTAACAAATTTTGAATTGATAACCACAAACATATTTCTCTGAAAGAGTCACCAACATTCATACTCTACATTAGTTAGATTATAAGTAAGTTTTTTGTAAAGTCCATAGGCTTCAATTTCAAGCATACTTCGTTTATATTTATGTTCCCGTCATCCCTTCATGGGACATAGGGCTTCTAAGAGATGTTTCCATCTGATCCTATTCTGAGCTGTCTGTTTGATCTCTCCCCATGTTTTCCCGACCTCTTGGGCTTCAGAGGTTACTGTTCTTCTCCAGGTATTCCTTGGTCTTCCCCTGGCACGTCTTCCCTGTGGATTCCATTCAAGTGCCTGTCTAGCGATATCTCTGTGGGGTCTGCGCAAAATGTGCCCAATCCAGCCCCACTTTCTTTTCTTAATTTCGATATCTATTCGATTTTGTGATGTTCTTCTCCACAGTTCTTCGTTGTTAATTTGATTGGGCCAGAAAATTCTCAATATTCTTTGAAGACACTTGTTAACAAACACCTGTAGGCGATCCATGAGACCACACGTAACCTTCCATGTTTCGCATCCATAAAGCAAAATAGATTTGACATTGCTATTGAAGAGCTGGACTTTAGTTTTTTTGCTATATATAGAGGCGTTCCACACAGGTGTAAGCATGCCAAAAGCTCTTTGTGCCTTCAAAATCCTTTCCTCTATATCTTTCTCTGTGCCCCCATCGCTGTGAACCATACTTCCCAGGTACTGAAATTCATCAACTCTTTCGATGACTCGGTTGGAGAGGTATAGATCTTGGTTGTTGGGAGTATTTGACCTAATTTCTTTGGTTTTCGCCACGTTGATTTGAAGACCGACATTATTAGCTTCCTCTTGGAGTCTAAGAAGTTTTTGAGACATATCCGAATGTGAATGGGAAAAGATGCATAGATCGTCTGCGTAATCCAGGTCTTCTAGCCTGCTTAACAGTCCCCATTGTATCCCTAGTGGTTCTTTAAATGCTCTATTTAGTGCTACATCCAGAACAATGTTAAAGAGTAGCGGCAAAAGTATACACCCCTGTTTTACACCTACTGCAATAGAAATTTTCTCCCCCACTTGACCTTTATGTAATACACAGCTTGTAGCATCATGATAAAGCATTTTAATCATACGGATTATTTTTTCAGGTATTCCTTATATACTTCGTTTACTATACAGAAATTTGATTTCTAAATCAAGCCATTTTTGTTTTGTTTTTTTTCTGAAAAAAGCAATTTTCTCTACCTTATCACTAACATTACTTTTTGGAATATCAACTTTAATAAAACTAGGATAAACTGAATTGGCTTTGCATGATTTAAGAAACCAAATATCTGCTCCTAATAACCTAATCTTAGTACTAAACTTACGATAAAGATACAGTTCCATTGACCGTGAAGCCATCGAAGATTACAGTTGAGGGTTGGAACCTTTGGTGTTACACAGCAAAATAATATTACACTAAATCACCACAATACACCAAAACACTTTTACTTTTACACTGGACGCACGTTTCGCTAACCATGTTAGCATTATCAGCAGATGATTATAAACTAAAGTACAATCTACAAGTTGAGCGTATATATACTCGCCCAGTAGGTACAGAGTGGGCGTGGCAAAATCTAGCCAACCGAGTCAGAGCCCACTGACCGTAACAGTTAATTTCCACCACTAGAGTAGTAGGAACAAAGAACTTAAAGGAATTGGACCGTTGACTCTGTTCATACTATCTTTATATTTATTAATTCTGATGCTTTCATATGCATCTAATTGCCTGTAATTTGCGACTTGTTTAATTAATTTTAAATTATTAAGATCTATACAATGTGTAAAAGTAAAAGTGTTTTGGTGTATTGTGGTGATTTAGTGTAATTTTATTTTGCTTAAAACAGCAAGAAATTTAATATAAAAAAGAAAATTAATATTTTAGCATGGTCCGGTAGACATATTTTAGCTAATTTCAAAAATATATAGTTTAGTATACTTTGCTCTTACCGTTTTCGATATACAGTGGATTTAATAATGAATTGTTCCAGAATCATTTTAAGTGGCTCACCCAATTTAAAATTTTCCTCTTTTCTATTTTAAGATAGTAACAAGATATTTTAATGTAATTTTTTGCGAGGATGCCGATTTTCTACATTAAAATTTTTTACAACGTCAATTTTGACAGATACGACGCCATCTTAATTTTTTTTAAATTATTTTATCATCTAGATACATCCTTTCCCGATGGTTTGCTTTTTTGGTATATCTCATTAGCTTGATTTTTGTTGGAAATATTCGCTTTATAAGAAGACACTAACATTGTTTCGTAATTTTTACATTAAGACCATGTCTGCTTTTGGGCCTAGTCAACACATCTAGTAAGTTCTGGTCCCGAAGCTTCTTGACATAAGATTTGCTTCATTTGATCTTCTTCTTATAGTTCCTTAGTTAATATGTACGTGCCTTAAGTGCAATTCATTATCAATTTGAAAAGCTGGCAAACGGCGGTTTCTTAGCAATAAACTTACAATAAATCGATTGTCTCGATTAGAAGTTCTCATACGAAGGTTCGTAGACGTCTAGATTGACCTCCTCATGGACGTGATCATAATTCAAAAACCACTTAGCATATACTCTATGATATTAAGGTATTATTGGAACCGGAATTTTAGCAAATTCACTGAACTAAACAAATATAGATATATATTTGACTCACCCTGTATATCTATAAAAATATTTTTGAAATGTTAACTACTATTAAACACATATATTTTGTAAAAGGTTTGGAATGAAAATATCAAATAGGAATCCTAATACAGAGCTTCTTCGGAATACGGAGCCATCATGTATGTATGCATTTGTATACATACATGTGTTTATTTAAATACTAAAGTGAAAGCAACGAATTTAAATGGGTAAATTTTGTAATATATCTTATTAACAACACAATGCAAAAAGTTTTATAAAAATTCGTTCACAGTAAATGAATTCCGAGGCGGGTGCGTAGAAAGGTGTATGCTATGGGGGTGGTACTATGATTAAGCCGCAAAAAAAATCACCGTCGGAATTTTTTTGTCGAATTAAAACGACGGCGATTTTTTGTCTTCAAAAAGATATAAAAACATAACACAAAAATTAAAATATAGATTTGTAAATAACAAACAAAAATGAAACAACGACGTTTATTAGTTAATTTTCTATAAACTATAAAAAAAAACTCTAAACTATCAAAAAAAAAACTATAAAAACTATAAACTATAAATAAAACTACAAAACAAAATCAAGTTTTCTAGTACGCTGTTTGGAAAACCTATCAATAACAGCATCAACATTTATTTCAATATCTTTATGGATATTGATTAGAGTTAACCCCACTAATCTGTCCTGGCCAATAAGAACACTTTGTGTGCTTTTAATTAGGTCGAACATATTATAAACGATAAATCAACATAATTAAAAGCATACAAAGTGTTCTTATGTCGGATTTTAATTAAAAAAAATCCTTTCATAGTCAATGACTATTTCAATTCTCGTATCTCGTCAAGCGTCAGGGGGGGGTACTGTCCCCCAGTACCCCCCCCCCCCTTATCTACGCCCTTGTTCCGAGGTTTGTATCCTATAAGGGCTTAAAGCACTCCACTAAGCCATCTGCATGTTGTTTATTGTTTACAAATTGGGGGGGTTTATGAATTGTTATTGTTTATGAATTTGCACGGACACAGAGATAACGGCAGGGAGAGGAGTAGGTACAGTGACCAGAAATACCGCATAGGCGGGAACAGCGACACTTTAGAAAACGGAGCCTCGGTTACAAAATCGCGGTATTTTGTCGCGGTATTTCTCCGGAACGGTCGCTATTGCAAAGCGACTAATGTGGAACCGGTATTTCCATCACTATGCTGAATACACATGGCTAATTTGAGGTCGGTCAAGTTTGCCCCCCGTACTAGAGGAAATTCAAAAAGAGATATACCACTATTTTGCACACATTTTGCACAGTTTTGCACACTATAAATGATATTTTGCACACTTACCTAAGAGAAACTAGAGCCGTTTTTTAAACGGGGGGCAAACTTGACCGTTCCCCCCCATTTGTTACGAAATTGATTTATTTCTATGTACATACATCGATTCGGCTAATTTTGCACAATTTTGCACATCAATTTTTAAATTTTGCACACCCTCCTGACGAAAGTTATAAGGAGTTAAAAATTTAAAATTTCCCCCCCATCTGTGACTAAATTGAATTTTGTTTATATCAAACGAATTGGCTAATTTTGCACAATTTTGCACACCTGTTTTTGAATTTTGCGCATTCTCCTGACTAAAGTTATGCGGATTTGAAAATTTGCAATTTCCCCCCCCCCCATCTGCTACGAAATTGAATTTCGTTTATATCAAACGAATCGGCTAATTTTGCACAATTTTGCACACCTATTTTAGAATTTTGCACACCTTCCTGACGAAAATTATGAGGGTTTGAAAATTTGCAATTTCCCTCCCATCGGCTACGAAATTGAATTTTGTTTATATCAAACAAATCGGCGAATTTTGCACAATTTTGCACACCTATTTTAGAATTTTGCACACCTTCCTGACGAAAGTTATGAGGGTTTGAAAATTTGCAATTTCCCCCCCATCTGCTACGAAATTGACTTTTGTTTATATCAAACGAATCGACTAATTTTGCACAATTTTGCACAGCTACTTTCGTATTTTGCACACTCTCCTGACAAAAGTGATAAGGGTTTGAATATTTGAAATTTGTCCCATTTTGTTGTAAATTGTCCCATTTAAAAAACATAAGTATGAGTCATATTTGAAAATGATAGATCTCAGCGACGCGACGTGGAAAACTGTACGGAACACAGACTTCAACTTTTCGATAAGTTATAGGATAACCGAGGTATGAGGGTTGTCGATAAATGCAAAATTTTCAAATTTGCCAGGTATTTCAGGAAGTAAGAGGGCTAGGACAAATCTGTGTGTAGAATCTTTAGTTTCATAAATGTTCTTCTATGCAAGCTATAAATTATCGAAAAGGTCCAATCTAAGTTCCGTGCAGTTTTTCACGTCGCTGAGATCTATCATTTTCGAAATATGACTCATACTTATGTATTTTTAAATGGGACATTTCACACACAATGAGACAAATTTCAAATATTCAAACTCTTATAACTTTAGTCAGGAGAGTGTGCAAAATTCGAAAATAGCTTTGCAAAATTGTGTAAAATTAGCCGATTCGTTTGAAATACACAAAATTCAATTTCGTGACAGATGGGGGGGGGGGGAAATTAGAAATTTTCAAACCTTCGTAACTTTAATCAGGATGCTGTGCAAAATTCAAAAACAGGTGTGCAAAATTGTACAAAATTAGCCGATTCGTTTGATATAAACAAAATTCAATTTAGTCGCAGATGGGGGGGAAATTTCAAATTTTCAACCGCTTATAACTTTCGTCAGAAGGGTGTGCAAAATTCAAAAACATGTGTGCAAAATTGTGCAAAATTAGCCGAATCGATGTACATAGAAATAAATCAATTTTGTAACGAATGGGGGGGAACGGTCAAGTTTGCCCCCCGTTTAAAAAACGGCCCTGGTTTCTCTTAGGTAAGTGTGCAAAATATCATTTATGATGTGCAAAATTGTGCAAAATGTGTGCAAAATAGTGGTATATTTATTTTTGAATTTCCTCTAATACGGGCAAACTTGACCGACCTGCAAATTTGAACAATTTTAAGCTACTAAAACTGTATCTATTTTTAAATTAAAACTGAATAGGTAAAATAATTGGTTATTTTTCTTTTGCAGATTATTTGGGATTGTGCTGATAGACGATAACGAAAAAGCCTGGTTTCCAGCCAGCGACTTGAAGGACTTCCACGGAATTATGCCCCACGAGGTAACCACCGCAGAGACGCTACTGTTTTGCATTAGGGCTGATGGATCGGAGGGTCTTTGCTGTCCTACTTACCATTCTTATGACGATGTCGTCGAAGACGAATAACTTGTGATGTCCTTTGTGGTATACGTTTATTAAATCGGTTGTTAAAAATGGTTTGTTTAAAAGCTAAAAAATATATTGGGATCTATCATATGATCAAATGAAAACGACATCATACAGGTTGAGTCTTAGATAAGTGCAAATATTTTCAAGGCTGGTAGGTATCTATAATAGAAATATATTTTCTTTTTGCAGTTTGTCAAATAAATCCAAAATAGGGGAGATATTTTACATTGACACTTTGACAAAAAATATTTTTTTTTCAAAGGTCACAAAAGTATTATTATTATATTAGTTTTTGCGACGTGATTGACAATATAAAAAAGTCATTTTATCTCCTAGGCATAAAAGTAAAGCACTTTTTTTCCATAGCAACTGTTAAAATTGCCTTATACTCGTATCTATCAAAAATAGTACATAAAATAGCATGGTACAAAGAAAACAAGGTATGATCGATAGCGGCTCCAATTTCGTTAAGTTTGCGCATACCACCTGTGACGTCATACGCCATACAAAAAATATCCATATTGTTCAAATGCCACTAATAAAAAAAGACCTAAAATAGGGAAGAATTAGAATATAACCCCAAAAGTTATGTCAAATCATCGAGCTTGACATTTGAAAAATAATTTTCACATTTTGACACAATCAAATTTCACAAATGACACAATCTGTTTGACCATTTGAAATTGGCGCGCAGAGCTTGCCGACCAATGGAGCCGTTTATCACCTGTGACGTAGTGACCAACCTGCGCAATATCATACCTTGTATTCTTTGTATCATGATAAAATAGTACTTTAACCGCAAGGGTAGAAATGATACTTTAACAGCGAGGATAGGTTAAAAACTTTATTTCTTCTCGCACGTTTTTTAATTGCTTCCATTTTTGAAAATTTTTGTATTCCTTTTCATAAGTTATTCTGGATTTAAATATAAGTAGTTTGGATATGGCGTTTGTCGCCTCAACCTGAATATCTGTTGGTAATTTACTTATTTCGTTTTGAGCCCTTTCTGACTCCAATTCAATCAGCAATCGACACGAAAGAGAATTAAAAAATATTGACTCAAAACTGACCATGATACAAAGAATACAAGGTATGATATTGCGCAGGTTGGTCACTACGTCACAGGTGATAAACGGCACCATTGGTCGGCAAGCTCTGCGCGCCAATTTCAAATTGTCAAACAGATTGTGTCATCTGTGAAATTTGATTGTGCCAAAATGTGAAAATAATTTTTCAAAATGTCAAGCTCGATGATTTGACACTTATTTGACATAACTTTTCGGGTTATGTCCTAATTCTTCCCTATTTTAGGTCTTTTTTTATTAGTGGCGATTGAACAATATGGATATTTTTTTTGTATAGCGTATGACGTCACAGGTGGTATGCGCAAACTTAACGAAATTGGAGCCGCTATCGATCATACCTTGTTTTCTTTGTACCATGAAAACTGACAACTAAAGAGACAGCTTTATTTATTTGTCAAATTACATAGAAACCAACAACGCCAACCCAGCACAATATTTTTTCTACTCGTAATAAATTGCTTGAAATAATAATTTCTGAATATTTTTTAAAACGTAACTCGCTATGGAAAAAAATATTGTTTTATACACGACGATAAAATTGCATTATCATACAATTTACCAATACCTACAATACCATTTTATCGACTTTTATAAAAAATTAAATAACTATTACGCCTAAGCATAAAAGTGCGAAAATATATTATTAAACTGACATGAAGTGTCAAATTCAACGTGTACTGTATGTTGTTTTCATTCGACTGTTGGATATTTTTATTATATTTTAAAATAATCACTTTATATAGAGTATCTCTCTGGGAAGGCTTTGAAACTGTATAAAAAACCACAACAAAGGTAAGATACGGAATACAATCTAGGTGGTCCGAACTGTATTCCAGAAAGTTCAGTAGCATATTCTGCAGATAAAAATAAGTAAAAAATTTTGTATAAATGTACGTCCTAAATGCTTGGTTTCGGAGATACAGGGTGTAGAACTTTCATATTTATTTCGATTTTTTGCAGCATAAACAATATTTGGATGAAAATTGGTGTCTGGGAGTTTTTTGACATGAGAAATTTGAGACTCCTACTAGTAGAGGGCGCCACCTACATATTTTTTATCTGGTTTGAAGGGTAATAACTTTTCGTCTGATATACCTGTATAAAACAACTGAGTGAAAAAATATACATTTTGGAGAATTTTTACGTAAAAAATGTCTCTTGGTAAAAATCTACGAGTAACCGTCCTCAAGATATTTAGAATGAAAATAGTCAATACAAGTCATTATTGACAAAAAAATAAACATGTTGGGTATTTAGTAATTTGACTAAAATTACTAATTTGGCACAAAAACATTTCAAATTTATGATTTCAGTCTAATAACTATTTAGTCAACATGTTTAATTTATGTTAATGATGAGATGTATTGATAATTTCGATTCCAAATATCTCGAGAACCATTATTCGGTAGCGATTTTGACCAAAAGACCTTTTTTACGCAAAAAACGCGGTGAATTTATACTTATTTACTCAGTAGTTTTATACAGGTACAGACAAAAAGTTATTACTCATCAACCCAGTTAAAAAGTATGTAGGTGGCGCCCTGTACAAGTAGGAGTCATATTGACATCAAAATCAGATTTCTCATGTTAAAAAACTTTCAGACATCAATTTTCATCCAAATATCGACGTTACTTCAGAATTTATTTGGAAAAAAATAGAAATAAAAATGAAACTTCTACACCCTGTATCTCCGAAACTAAGCATTTTAGGACATACATTTATACGAACTTTTTTACTTATTTTTATCTGCAGAATATGCTGCTGAAGTTTCCGGAATACAGTTCGGACCACCCTGTATATAATTTTTATTTGTATCTAAGATATTATAAGAAGTTTCCTGAGAGACACCCTTTAGATATTTGTTACAATTCATCCGGCTTGTAACAGTTTTAAGCAATATTCTTAATTTTTTGTTATATTTTTTATATCAATTTTATTCTTTACCTAACTAACATATTATTCCATTTAAATATTTGTACATATCTAGCCATTATCTAGGTCAAGTAAAGCTTGAAGATATTATATTTATATATATGTAGTCAAAAAAATAATTGAATTTTTTGAATTCGACTGATATAAGAAATCTAAAATCATCCATTATTTGCCGAACTTATATATTTCGTGACAATAAAAGAAATAATTCTGACAATAATAAAATTAAAAACAACAAAAAGGAAGAATGAATATACTAAACGAAGACAATAATTTTATCCGCATAAGGAATAAGTTAAAAATTATTTAAATATAATAAAGGTTGTTTTAGATGTATTTTGAAAGTATGTGATACATACATATGCACAAATCTATGTGTACATAATAAGATATAAGGTATTAGATAGATAATAGAACAACAATAATAAGTATGATCTATATTTTTGGGAGGGAACTTGAGTTTATTCTAATTTCTTTGATTTTTCATCAATAAAATCAATATCATGTATCATCCGAAAAAAATATTGTTTCCTTAATAAGCCTATTTGAAAAACTGGACTACTTGGAGTATAATTAACTCGTTTTTTTATAGAAATTAGCTCTTTTTTTAGGTTTGAGTTACAGATTTAGTTTTTTGGTCCTTATTTTTTTCGAAAAAATACAAAGGAATTAAAATAACTCCTAAAATTATAGTTTTGTTGGGCATATCCAATGATTAAAGAATATAAAGACGCGTAATGTGCATATGTAGTAAAATGTGTGATGTTAGACACCATAGTTTTGGCGACGACGGATGTGTCATCAGCGATAATTTTACCGAATTTTGTAGCCAACATACAGGGTGTCCCACTTAAGATGGATACAAGCCAATAACTTGATTGTTTGTTGAGTGATCTTTGTCATTTTTGGCAGGAGACTGTATGGCTATAAGACGTACATTTTGCCCAGGGTAAGAAATGCGATACCTCATAGACGTACGTTTTAATGGGGTTTGATATTTTTCGAATCAAGAGTAACTACCCCTAGAACAGTATTTATTTCAAATCTGATAAATTATATTGAATCCTCCTTACCCAAGATACTTAAGTTCTACTTTTGATAAATATTGACACAGGGTGTGTTATTGAAATAAGACATTTTTATTTTTATTATTTTTTTAAGTACTTACGACGCCACTGGATAAACAACTGGTTTATTATCAATAACTAATTATAACCAATTATGAATTAATAATCGATTTAAGTTTTCAGATAGCTTCCATAATAATTAAGATACGGTACAAAAAAACTAAATATTTTCAATTTATTTTGTTTACTTTAAAAATCGTTTTTTAAGTTTGCCAATACAAATGAATAAAATGAGTTACAAAATAAATTAAAACCTCAGTTTTCAATGGAATCTGAATATGATTTTTATTCGTTTTATTGAGGAATATTTTAAAAAATCCAAATAGCAAACTTAAAAAACAATTTTTTAAAGTAAACAAAATAAATTGGTAATATTTAGTTTTTTTGTATGGTATCTTAATTATTATGGAAGCTATCTGAAAACTTAAATCGATTATTAATTGATAATTGGATATAATTGATTATTGATAATAAACCAGTTGTTTATCCAGTGGCATCGTAAGTACTTAAAAAAATAATAATAAAAATGTCTTATTTTAATGACACACCCTGTATCAATATTTATAAAAATTAGAACTTAAGTATCTTAGGTAAGAAGGATTCAATATACTTTATCAGATTTGAAATAAATACTGTCCTAAGGGTAGTTTAAAACAAATATCAAACCCCATTAAACGTGCAGCTGGCGTACGCTGACTGTGCTTCTGCGTTAGAAAACAAAATAATTTTGACCGCTGGAGTGCCTTAGTTCGACGATGTAGAACGCCTACTATCAGAGTCGATGTACGACGTACGGCAGTCATCTGTCTCTGTCTAACTCATCGAGCGGTGGCGACGCGACGTAAGTCGGAGTTGTATCGTATTAAGGCGGGGCTTAGGCGAAATCTCCGGTCGCCTTCGCATGAAGTCGTGGAGGCTCGGTAGAAGTTAAAGGGATATTCCCGATATTTCATAAGGGGATATATCACATTTCGTTAAGGGGATATTTCATATGATTCATTATACGTAGCATTTAAAACTTTTATATGAAAATTCAAAAAACGTTTAAAGCAAATTGGAAACATTTTTCGAGCTTGTCCGAGATTATTAAAAA